TCTCTCACACACACACACACACACACACTCAAACACACACACACACACACACAGACACACACTCATGCACACGCACACGCACACACATACACACACCTGCTCCACAATCTAAAAACAGAGCATTTAATTTTTTAAAATGGCAGACAACGTTGTTGTTGTTGTTGTTGTTGTTGTTATTGTTGTTATTGTTGTTTCAGTTTTCAGTTAAAAACTTCAGACTAAAATCCTCTACGTCATCACTCGTTACAACAATTGAGGCTGCTATGACCCTATGGCCCTGCTTTACGGCATTTACATTGCCTTGAACTACACTTTTTTGGCACCAGTACAGTTGCATCTTGTGAAGCCTTGTCCACCTGAAGAGGATTGAAAAATCACAGCCGAACGCAATGAAACTATTTTTTCGTTGTTTATGTCATCAGTGTTTAGAAGTCGGTCAGGGCACAGATCGAATTGATTTCTGGAATACAAACCACTGAGAATACCAGCTTTTACGGCTATCTTATATTGGTCTGTGTCTTCTCATCTGTCAATTATGACACCAAGGATATTTCTAGGATCGCCTCTCCCTCTATCAACACGTAGAACTGGCACATAAGCGCTGTCTCCTTGTTTGCCTGCTCACATATCTACACGACTTCTTTTAACCATTCTTTCTGCTTGAGAAGTTTGTGCGTTGGCTGCTTCACAACAACGCATTTTTATTTGTTTGATGCGTTCTTCTACCCTAAGGTTTTCAGCAGAGGAACCAGGACTGTTAGATGGAGAGGGTGAGAGAGACGTCACATGCTCTTCCGATTGTCCATAAGAACCAGCAACATCATAGGCTGATGGTGTTGCTGTTGGCAAGAAAGGTCCTGTGGGTAGATCGATGTCTTGTGCTGATGTGCTTTCAAGTTCGACTGGAAGTAGAACTCCGTCTGTCACACCATCTGTTGGTGTTTCATCGCTTGTAGCTTGGATCTAGTTTGTAACCCCAACAGTTTGGGAGAGAGAGTTTTCATTGACAGCAAGAAGATCTTCCTCAGTCTCCATCTGAGCAATCACTTCCTCCTGCTAAGACGAAGTAGTAAGTCCAACACGAGCTTCACAGCCAAACATTGCAGCATATGGAGAGCACTTTATCCCGGAAGGAAGAGCACTATTTTTCTGGCGCTAAACAAATTTGATGCTCGTAGGCCAGTCTTGGGAGTCATTATCAGCCTTCCAAGCCACGAGCATTTGCTCGCTCAACCAACCCCTGACTTTGGGGATGGCAAGGCTTACCATGCTCCATTTTTAGGTTTGGACAAACTTCCTTCAGCTCTGTGATAACATGTGAAGTGAACTCAGATCCGTTATCGCTTTGTAGAAAAACGGGTGCACCAATGAGCAGAAAAATGTCCAGTAAATGAAAAGCGACCTCTGCAGCTCTTTTAGACGTCAAGACTGGAAGGATGCAAAACTACGAGTGTTTGTGATTCATAGCAAGCACGCAAAATTGTTACTGTACAGTGGCTGGGCTATTACGTGAATTCACTGAATGCTCTATAGTAAGAACACATAAAATGATAGGTCTAATTTTAGGGATTTGGCGTAATCACTAGAAATTTCAGTGATTACGTGAAACCCCCGAGTGAAACGGGGATTACGTGTATTCACTAAAATATTCAGTGATTACGCTTATTCACTAGGTACGTATTCTTACTGTAACATATATATATATATATATATACATATATACAGTCAAACCTGTGTAAGACGGCCACCCATTGTCAAGGAGAAAAGTGGCCGTATAAGACAGGTGGCCGTCTTAGGCAGGACTGATCAAGATGAAGAAAACAAACCTTTCCCATCTGAGGTCTCAATTGAAAGTAGCCGCATTGTTGTTGTTTTTTTGTTGTTGTTGTTTGTTGGTTTGTATTTTGTTTGTTGTTTTTATTTTGTTGTTGATTTTGCGCAAGGGTGACAATAAAACGAAATGGGTAAGACGAGGACGCTATGGTAAAACAAACATATGGGTCGCCACCACTCGGAGAATGAGTGACGCTTCTGTCACGGGTTCATGTTGACGTCCATGTTACTTTGTTACAGACTGGGTAAACAGTGACCACTCATCTCACTTACGATTTGTGTATGAGTTCTGGGCTGGGCTTATGGGTTTTGAGGGATCACACGCTTCCCTCACCAGCAGCTGAAAGCTTGTTACCTATTGGTCAACAGTGGGAGGGGCCTACGCAACATGATCGGTTGGAGGGACTACCTAACAACGACAGGTGATTAGGTTATGACCGCTCGCCCACAACGCCAGGGGTCAATGAACAATTTTTGACAAAACGTAATGGAATCACTAAGGTGGCCGTCTAAGACAGGTGTTATTGCTTGGTGTGATAGCGGTTGTGTGTTAAAATATGGTGGCTGTGGCCGCGTTGGACAGGTGCTGGTTTTACACAGTTAAATTATATAGAAAAAACGCAAGGGGGGAAATGGAAATTGGCTGTTTGTACAGGTGGCCGTCTTATAGAGGTGGCCGTCAGGGCATGTTCAACTGTATATGTATATATATATATTTATACAGAATGTGCCTCAACAGGGAGTTGCAATCCCTTTAACAGTGGAATAGCTTGCTTGGACATCTTTAATCAGAGATGATGATACTTGGAATTTACTTTGGTGTGTGGACTCTGTTTTCACTGTTACCTTCTCCTTTTTTTTTTTTCTCCAATACATTAACCACTGGACTGAGCCTGATGCTTTCGAAATTACCTGTTTGTGTTTGGTAGAGCACTTGCTTGTACGAAAAACAAAACCTACTTTAATAAGCCCTTCATCACACATCTTTCACTATATTTGGTTTGGTTTATTGAATCTTGCCTTTTTATACCACAGGACTGTTGAGGTATAATCAAAAGATTTCCTCTATATTGCCAGAGTTTACTCAAACTGGGATGCTTTTGAAATGACCTGTTTGTGCCTGGTAGAGCACTTGCTTGTACAACAAATAAAATCTATTGTAATAAGCCCTTGGGTTTTATTTACTGAAACTTGTCTTTTTATTTCAGAGGACTGTTGAGATATGACCAAAAGATTTCTTCTATATGGCCAGAGTTTGCTCAGAACGGAAAGGAAGACATCACCTTGGAGACTTTTATGTCCCTCCGGGTAAGGATTTTGTATTATCCAAAGATCTATGTGTTCTGTATGCTTTGCAAGTGCTGGTTATTTTCCAAGTCAATCTGCAGAAGTTTTCTGAAGCACAAAAGAGATTGATAGAACTTTATATGGCTTTTACATTGAAGAAAATTTGGGTCCTCTGAAAGGTCATTTTCACTGCTTCTGGTGAAAGTTAGATGCTTGCACAACTCTTGCAGCGTGGTACTTTTATTATGTAGCCTACCTCATGAAACACTTCGCTTAAACCTTCTTGAACCAAGTCTACGACAGGGCAAAGTAAGAGGTTTCATTTCTCTTAAGGCCTCAACTAACACGCATCTACCTCTCCTGCACCCAGGACAGGGGAATGGCTCAGCACACAAAAAACGTTAGATTTGTTTGGCTTTTTTCTATATATTTATAAATCCATCTCCATTGATCTTTGATTAGTGCCATATCAAAGGTATGTGACTAAATTTTTTAATATTTAAAGTAGAATTTTTGCCTCCCGACTCTGTCTTTTACAGTTACAGAAATTGTGAAATGATAGCTCAGTGGCTAATTTAAAGTATTCACAGTAACATTCCGTATCAAACAGTATTAAAAAAAAACCCCCACTTGCACACTCACATGTTTATGAGCAAACACAAACTTTCAAAGGTGAACACTCGAACAAGACTCATGCTCACTCTCACAATTGCACTTTTGAAAATATGGTCAGTTATATTGTTCAAAGGAAGAAAATCAATGAAATGTTTCAAGACCTCATGGGAAAAAAAGCAGTGCATTCTCCCAAAAATGATTACGTTAATAAAAACATGTTGTATGGGTCTTGTCAAAATGAGTTTTCAGCCATACGAATTGTGCTCCAATTTAACTCCTTATGGACTAGTTTGTGTGTAAGTATCAAAAGAGGAAGTTGATGTTACTTATTTTGTACATTACTTTAATTGTATGTAAATCTTACCAGAAATGTACTAATGGAGGAGGGGAGGGGGGCGGTTGGGTATGAGGGTGGGGGGCTTCTTGAACATCATTTGGATGGTCAGATGGGTTGGAAAAATGTGCTTCATTTTATTAGTTTAAGCTCTGACGATATACATGTTTTAACTTTCAGTCAGGCCTTCCTGTTCTGAGTGAAAATTTTGAGATTAGTTGGCTGAGAGATGACCCGAGGCGTCTGTGTGAGGTGCTGGAGAAACAAGAGCCGCTGTGGCCACCAGGTACCAATGTTGTTGCATGTAGTTGAAGGTTTGTCTTTTACTTTGTCCAGTGGTTAGAAATACTTTTCATTATTGTGTGTGTGTGTGTGTGTGTGTGTGTGTGTGTGTGTGTGTGTGTGTGTGTGTGTGTGTGTGTGTGTGTGTTATATAAGAACACATATTTCCTTCTTTATGCTCATTTAAGGGATAAAGCACGGTATGGGATTATTGATTTATTTGTGAGCTTTTGCCAATAGTCGGGTACCTAAAATTTAGCACAGAGGGTTGATGATACAGTTTTTAATATTTCGTTTTTACTTGAATTTTTCTATTCATGTATATCTCCTCCCTATCTAGGCTGTTAAAAGCTTTCTCGTAGTCAACAAAGTTAACGTACAGGGAAGAGTTCCACTCTGTGGATTGCTCCACTATTATCCTCAAAGTTGCAATCTGATCTGTACATGATCTCTTTTTACGAAATCCTGCCTGCTCCTCTCTTAGTTTTGCATCCACGGCTTCCTTAAGTCTTTCTAGTATGGTACGACTTAAAATCTTACCAGAAATGGACAGGAGCATGATTCCTCTGTAGTTTTTACACTCATGCAGGTCTCCTTTCTTGGGGAGTTTCACAAGATCCTCCTACAAAAACATGTATTTACAGACCTACAGATGGCATGCTAAGCTGTGTAACTGGCGTTACATAACATCAAGTCAAATTCTTTCGGACATGACTATGATGACACTTTTTTAGAATTTGAACGTACAAAATTCTTTTAACAGTTTCCTAATTGCTTTAATTTTCAAACATAAGCATTATGAGCATATGAAATGGCGAGGACCACAGAAAAAAGAAATTCTGAATGTCTTTGTGTTTGCATTTGTGTCATCATAGTATTGTTTGAAAGAAATGAAAAACTTTCCGTTTTCGTATCTTAATTTCTATTATGAAAATTTGGACAAACAACGATTCAGAATATTCAGTTTGACTGACAATGCATGTTAATGATGAAAAATGCCTCTTCATTCACATTTTACTATGAATCTCTGCAAAATATCAAGTATCTTTAGAACATAACCATGATGACACAAAATGAAAAAATACCCCGAAAAGTAATTTATGGAACATAAAATTATTTTTATAGTTTTCTCATTGCTTTAATTTTCAAACATAAGCATGAAGAGCATATCAAATCACAGAAAAAAGAAATTCTGAATGTTTTTGTGTTCACTTTTGTGTTATTATAGTTATGTCCGAAAGAAATGAAAAACTTTTTATTTTCACATTTTAATTCATTTTTTGAAAATATTGGCAAACAAAGATTCAGGAGATTCAGTTTGACTCACAATGCATGCTAATTGTGAAAAAATGCCACTTAATTCACATTTTACTATGACTCTATGCAAAATACCAAATATCTTTCGAATATAACTACGATGACACATGAATAAATGTTTGTCGTCCTTTTGGAACATATAATTAATTTACATCAAATTTTCCTCTCTCGTTGACATCTAGCCAAGCATGTGTGGTCGCATCTAGATCCACTACTACTTGACCATTGGAATGCAGTGCGATGTTAATCATTACTTAGTTTAAATTTAATTAAAGGGGGGGGGGGGGGGAACATTTGCGGACATAACAGCTTTTTTTAAACGTAATATGTTAAGATTTGATGACGACATAAGAAAACTTAAATGAATTCGTCTAATCCACCATTCTTCTTCTTGCTGTCTTGCATCGCACAACGTTACGCTTTGAATGGATCAACAGGAACAAAGCACGTTCCTCCACCTCTATTATTTCTCTTTTTCTGATTGGTTCTTTCGAGCATAACAAATGATGACAGAGCTCGAGGCGTCGCGGGATTTCCGATTACTGCGAAATTACGCACTGTCAGAGCCTCAGAATCAGTCAGGGCAGAGAGTAAACATTGAACAATACTATGCTCGTTCCAGGGCCCCAAAATGGGCGATAAAAATGGAGTCACAGGGAATCGAAGTTGTCTTGTGAAATGACTACATGAGTTTTGCTAGAAAATTAAAATCAAGAAGGCTCACAAAAAAAAAAACAGCTACAGATATCATTATTCCTGATATAGCACCACAATTAATGTAGTTATAGTAGTACAAATGTAGACGGATGAGTTTCTCAGCAATTATTTGTCATTGTTGAACTTGACGACAGAAAAGTATGAACTAACGCGTCACGTTTTGAATTCTAAAAATACATTGATTTCAGAACTAAAAATATATTTGTAAGATTTCTTCTGATAGCCCGACTGTTATTTCTCTGCTCCCATAGCTGAAACATCATATTAAGCACAAATACAAATTTTAAAGCTGTAGCACCATTTTTATGGGAACAGGAAAGGATTTTGTAAGGTATATGAAGAAACCCTCACCTATTGGCAAAGGCTCATGTATGAATGAATGTTAAGTACAGATGTAGTTATCAGCGCCTTCCCTCTAGACTAACAAGCCTTCATTCTTACCATACATTCTCATTGAATATCAATCTCTTGTTTAGCCATGTGTACACCATGATTTCATTTGCCTCTAGAGTCAAATTTCTCTTGTTTTATTCACAGGAGAGGCACATGGGTATCACGTACTGACCATAGGCCTGTACTTGGACCAAATTGTTCGAAGAGTGGACAGAAAAAAGCGAAGCTTGTCACAGTACTTTCAAGAGGAAATTGCTGAACCCTTTGGTAATATAAGATAATATAGGTAGTGGTGGTCTGCCTTTCAAAGGAATTGACAGTGGCAGCTTTCTTTGGCCCGATTTTGCACCACAAATTCACTCTGACACCACTGACTCACACGTGTGTTCATAAAGCCTAGCATTACTAGCATGGTCTGAATTGCCAGTGTGTAGTCTGCACTATTTATTTTTATATGCTCAGATGTACATGAATGATATTTACGGTGTTACATCAGAGTATCTTCTCTTCCTTCTTCCTCTCCTTCCTCATTTCAACCTGTATACCTTATGTCTTGTGTAACACTTCACAAAAAGAAACAAAAACAGTCTGCTGAAAGTTAACTTGATAAAATGGAGGACTTTGCTCCTCAAAGATGCTTTTCCAGTCTGTTTTTTTTTTTCTTCAGGTATGAAGTCATACCTTTGAGGTTTCAAATTTCCCTACCCAAAACTAGTTTGACATCTTAAAAGCTATTTGCTTGGTAGTGGTGGTAGCCTTAATGGATTTCATTTTTCTTTTTATCCTTCTTCTTCAGTTTTGAAACTATACATTGGACATTTTATACTACTTTCCAAGAATTTGGTTAGCACCCATTGGTAGGCTACCTGTGGTCTTTGCCATGTAATTCATTTTTTTTTTTTTTTTGCTCTTTCAGGTATAGAGCTGTATATTGGACTCCCCAAACCTTTGCACCACAGAGTAGCACGATTAACCCCTAGGCCCATAGATCGCCAAAATATGGAACTGAAAGTAAAGCAATTCAAAGGAGATCCAGTCATCAATCAGTTGTCACTCACCCAGCCTAAAGACTGGTTTTCTGTAAGTTCATAAATTTACTGATTTCTCAGAGACATATGTCAGTTACTCTTGTTCTTGAAATGTCTTACATCTCTGAAGAGCAATCAATGACCTTGGAATTTGAATAGAAATTTCTGGAACCCAGGAGTAAATGAGATTTTAAGGAAGTTGGTACAGTGAAAGACAGGACTGTGGTAAATAGATTTTGATTTCTATACTCTGAGAACCATTTTTTTTTTATAGCTTATTAAGACAGGTAAATTGACTTTTTGAAAGGGACCAGATTTTCAGTGCCACTGCATTGTCTTTTTAACTTTGGCAGTGAGTACACGCTTCCTTTCAGCTTTCTTCTACTGTGAAGATCTAATCACTGTAACAAATGTTATCTTGCATGCTTTCTGGGACCCGTGAATGCTGAAAGCTTGACATGATTTTGATAGTTTATGATGCCCTGGCTTTTTCTCACCGGCCGAGTATACAGGATTTTTATAATTATGTTAGACATGATCTCAATGCCTTTTATCGGCATGTCATTGTTAGGAAACTATTCTAAAGTCTTTATTGGTATGGGCTATTAATTAGTGTCAAATACTGATTAATAGTAATAGATATTTATAAAATGTTATAACCTAAGCTATAAAACATATTGAATGGACTGACAAAAAGGCATTCATATGATCATGTCTCATTTCTCCAAGGTTCACCTTCACGTATGCACACACATTGATGCATACGCTAACAGAGGAATGCACACTCGCTCAGGCTTTCAGCACCTTGGCTGGGAAATGAATGGCCATCTCTCTTAAAATATAAAGTCAGCTTTGCAGTCCCCTTGATTTACAATATTAATGACATTCCAGTTACGATCAGATGATGTCAGTTTTATCTTTTTGAATAAAAAATTCCGTGTCTTACTTGTCTGACTTATCCTGGGCAACAACGTCATTGTACACCGGACAGGTCCGTAAGTGCTCAGTTTCTCTCAGCACTAAAGCCCGCAAGGTATCCATACTAATTGTTCCAGTGGCTGTTTGATTATGGCAACATCTTTCCTTTCCAGATAATCGTTCCTTTCTTGTTTCTCCTCTCCTGCTGTCTCCCTGTCTTCCTCATCCCGCAACTTTTCCTCCAGGGTCTTCAACACTTTTTCTTTGTCAAATTTCACCTTACCATCAACCATGGCACTGCCTGCCGGCGGATCAGCCTCATCATTGCCCTTCACTCCAGAGTGCCCAGGACAGAATATCCACATGATGGTGATGCACATTTAATTCAGTAAATTACATGTTGGGATCTGTATTGCCAATTTTATACTGAAGAATTTTGGCAATTGACAATACTGTGGTTATAAATAGGGTAAAACTGACTGTTGAAAAAACTTTGTTTCCCTGTAGCGTCCTTATTTTCATGAACTTTCACACTCATCATTCCATGCTATCTGTTCTGACTCCCTCAAATTTTTGTTAAGGGTTGGGCACCAAATAAATTGCGGCTGAGGAAAACAAGACAGCCTTTTGGTGTTTCCCCCATCCAACTTTTGTATTTTGGATCTTGCAATTGGTGTTATACTAGTAACCAAGACAAGGAAAACAACCTTATTTTCAAAGAATCGGTAGAGAAAAACTATGGTCTTGGTCCAAAAATAAATTGTTTTGTTAGTTTAGTTTGCATGATCCTTGCAGGTTCTCGCCATGTATCACAAAATGTTCTGTCTCTGCAGACAAGGCGTCTCAATGACCCAGACTTCATGGAGTTACCGTGCCCGTCATCTCATGGCGTAGGAACGGCCTTGGCTGTTGCAAAGTTAACTGGAATTATGGCGAATGGTGGAGAGCATGATGGGAAACGACTTTTATCTCCCGAGTCCATCGCTCGCATGCAGGAACCGCTGTCCTATGGAACTGATAAAACTCTCTCTGGCTCTGAAATCTACAGTAGGGGAACCATACTGCAGCCTGTAGTAGAAGGCACTAAGGTACAGTCTTCTTGGTATTGGTGCAATTTTTTTTGGTGTTGATATTCACCTCGGCCAACCTCACCTGAACTGTACACTATTATTGACTTGAGCAGTTTGCCAGCCTATCGAGTATCTTTTCATTTTTCGCCCGGTTCAGCCTTTGCTTCTTTTACCATTGAATTCTTTTTGTTGTAACCTGATGTTCTTACTTACTGATTTTGTTTTTTGGAGTAGCTTATCGAGAAGTTGAAGCATTGAAAAATGGGTCTGAAAACATGCTACACCAAGTGGATGCTGCTCTTTATTTGGTCTGATGATTCACTTTTCTATTAAAAAAAAAAGTTTTGATTGTATTTGTCTCTTTTATTCAGATAGGTAGTTTGTGTTCTGATATTAGCTTTTTTTAACTTCTTTTCAGTGTCATTATTTTTCTGATCTTTTCCTGGGGAAATTATTCTGTTCATGTGCTTGCAACAAGCAAGAACTCACTACTTGCAAAATTTTTCAACCCTTTCATTTAGTAAAATTAACAGGTGTGAAAACACCAAAAAATAATAACAAGCTTTGTAGATATAGGCCTACTCTAGAGTGAGGCAGCAGAACATATCGTGGGTAGCAGTTCAAGTATTGTAACTTGGAGTTTTTGAAAAAAATCACTTTTTTACACTTTCCAGGGCACTGGAGAGGGATGTAGAACCTGTAGAACCCTAGGATTCTTGTTGCTATTTTGTAAAAATACATTTTAGATTGAAATTCCAAGTATTATTGATGGATATAATGGTGAAAATTTCATTTTTTACCTCCTCTTGTAAAATTTGAAAAATCTGAGTTACAATTGTTGTGCTGCTACTCTGTGATATGTGGATAAGAATAATTAATAGAAATTGACATCTCTATCATGCTGTTTGCTATGATCCAAAGGGCCACATATGTAACGTACATTGACATCACATCATGGCACACATGGTGTCTATTGTCTTCTTGAACAGAATTTTGCATTTTTTGTTCTTTCTCAGTTCTATGGTTTGGACCCCCTTTCTCAGCTGTCATACTGAAGTCTGTGGTGTAGTGGTAAGGCACTTTGCTGTTGCTCACAGAAGACATGAGTTCCAGTCTCGTGTTGGGAGTTATAAATTTAAAAAATGAGGTACATGTATCTTGACCTGTCTACTGGAACTTTGTATCCCTCTAATCCAGAGTTAGCTCTGGCAGACAAGGTTCGAAGCGGTTGGCCTCCAAAATGATCTGAATTTTGCTGATGGAGGCGTAAAATATCTTCCATCATTACAAAAACAATTTTTTAAATGTTTGCAGGTTGTTGGAGGCACCTCAGGTAGGTTCTACCTATTCGTTATCTGTCTTTTCTTTCCGTCTCTTTGTCTTCCTTTTCCCCTTGTATTAAGTTTCAGGTACTGTGTACTTCTTCATATAAAAAACTCGCATATTTCTCTCTTGTTTTTTTCTGTTGCATTTCCAGAGCTGGTACATGTTTGGTCACTCTGGCTTTGGGGATCAGAACAGTGCAGCTGACCCACACTACAAGGTGGGCTGGGCGTATCTTACAAACTATGCTGATCCCAACGTTAGCATGACCAACGAGAACAAGTGGCGCCCTCTAGTGGAGTCTCTCTTTTCCTGTGTCCACCGCTTGGAAGGAGTCCAGTGTGAGAGGAAAATGCTGACGTCTTTCGAGGAGCTTCAAAGAGAAAAGTCGCTGACGAATAGTAAATTATGACCTGCTCATACATATTAAAAATTATTATTTTCCCTTTTGATGGGGGGGGGGGATGTTTATAAACAGACTCGCTACACTTCAGCGAGAGGTGCTAACTCTATAACAACAGAATACTGTATACACACACGTAATACCTGAGATGTACACGTTTGATATTTACATTGGAATTATTGTCTTTTTTTTCTTTTCTGTTTTGCTTGTTCTAATGAACTACATGTTTTGTCTTTGCAAAGACTTATTTTTGTGTCTACCAGGAGAATGCTAAACCACTAGCACCATACTTCTGTGATAATAGCTATCTCCTTTGTGAACAAATTGAGTGTGTATGCACAAGCATAGTTTTCGCACTTTGCTGCAGATAACAAAGTTGCATTGATGACTCACTGAGTTAATCTCAAATGTTAAATGAGATGAATCAACCACAATCATGGGTGAACTCTTCACTTGTGAAGCCATAATTATATGTCTGGCGTTGCGGTGGAATCGGGCGCTCGTCAATTTTTGGGCTTTTACTTTTATTGTTGGTATCATATTAGAGCTTGTTCTTTGTCTTGCTATTGATGAAAATGATACCCATCCATATTGAAAACAATTGAGATACCTGCAATTGAAAGAGGTGGGGGTCGCCTGATGTCAGAGGTCAAATTACTGAAAAGATTTGAGAGTCCTTGGAAACTGCGAATTTACAATTTTTGTGTGGTTCTAATCCATGTTTTTCAGTAAAATTCTGATTATAATGTGTCTTCAAATGGACATAAAAGGTGTTGAGGCTCTCAAAACTTTCATATGAATTGCTAAATGGGTGGAAAAATGCTTCTTCCTTCGATTTTATTATTTTAACGAGCGTCTTATTTCACCTTGATGCAACATGTATGCGTGCATGCCTGAGAAAAAGATTCACCTATGCAATTTGTTACTTTTGTAATTTCTTGCATTTCCTCATGACTCTGTTTTAAAAATGTTCAGATCTAAATACCTCTTTAGACATGGTCACTTTTGTGAATGAGTAGTGCACCTACCGCCACATTTGAGAAAGACAACTTTAACCATTTAACACCTGGAGTGGCGTTGTGCGGAGTCGATCGAATCGCATCTAGAGCTATGCTGCCCAGTGAATCAATCGCTGGGTGCACAACACTGCCTTGGTATGCATTTCTATGAGGTCTTGGAATAATGTCTGATTAGAAGTGACTTAAAAATTAGGCTGTATAGCGAAAGTAAAGTTGTTCTATTTTTCAGTTTTTGAATGATCGAAATTGACCTAAAAATGTGTGAATTTTTAAAGTAAATATGACGAAATGGAGTGTGCAGTGGAGTTAAAACTTGGGCAAATCCAAGGAAACTTGGAAAATATATTAAAATTCAGCTGTGAAGCGGTCTCGACCAAACCAAGACACACTGAAAGTTCATTTCTTAGTCTACTGTGTTATGGTATTTTTGTAAGTCACTAGAGGAGTTGGTTATTTTTTAATTTGATGAAATAGATGGGTAATTACCTGATAGTCACAACTATAATGGGAGAAATAAATAACTTGCCCATACTCTAACACAAGGATACTTGGCTTGTTAGAAGCAGTATTCTTTTCCTAATATGTGTTGCAACATGATGGAATCAGGTGCTCGTCAATTTTTGGGCACATGGAGTTATTGGTATCATAAAGCTTGTTTATTTGTCTTGCATTTGGCGAAAAACCCATCTATCTTGAATAGAAGTTGAGATATTTGAGATTGAAGGAGGTGGGGGTTGCCTGGTGTGAGAGGTAAAATCAGCAAGAAAATGGCTGCCAAAGTTTGGCGACTTCCAAAGCTTGAGTGTCCTCCTTGAACACAGGAAATTTACATTTTTTCTGCCTTTAATCAATGCTTTTCTGTAAAAGGACATAAAATATGCTTATCCAAAAAAAGAAATTTGAAAAAAATTGCCAGACGTCCAGAAAAATGTGTTTCTTTGATTTCATTACGTTGACGAACACATGATTCCACCATGATGCTTCACATATAGTTGTGTTTTTTTCCCTGATCATTTTGTAAAGAAAATTTCTTTTAAAAGAATTTTTTAAAAACACATGTATGATATTTTAGAAGATTATCTCCTTTTTCCAGGATTTTAGGGCATGCAGCAAGACAAATCTCCAGGAGCTAAAAGGTTAAAGTTTCATTTCGTCATGTAATTAACGAACAATGGCAATCCTTGTCAATGTAGAATGTTCTAGTAGTTTTTGTTTCTTGTCCTTTTTTCTATGAAGATAATTTAACATTTTTAGGAATTCTTTGCCACATTTAATTCTACATCTGAGTGATGATGTAATCAGATACTGGTCACATAACAGTTTGTATAAAAAGATTTTATGTAATCGGCATTTTACATGGAGAACTTGAAATACATACCCTTGTATGACAAAGACTGGGTTGTGTTTTTCCTTACATTTGCTCAAGTATTTCTAAGGAAAAGGAAGCTACAATTCACATTGTCAGCTGCTCCAAATTATTTGGATAACCTCCTTGAATTTGGAACTTTTCATGTTGGTGGTCTTCTGCTGATATTCAATGTTGCAGCATATAATGAGCAAATTATGGCCTCAAGTATGGCAGCAGATGTCTTGTGGTTTGACTGCTGGCTTTACGACTTAACGGACATAGATTTTGATATCTTACTATAGATACCTTACTAAGGGCTGACTGTGTTTTCTTCAAGCAACAGAAAATATTTTCCTCACTTAACCATGAGGCAGTTGGGTATGAGGATCTGTTGGTACCACTAGATATCACTAACAGTTCAGCCTCATTTTATGAAAATTTTATGGAAGGAGAGCTACAATGGGATGGAAGGAGCTACAATGGGCTGTAACAGTGTAATATAGAAAACAACATTTTTTAAACATTAAACGGTGTAACTCTAGAAAAGAAATGTATGAAAAACTTGTCCTGTCCTCATTTTTGTGTCTCTGAAAAAGTGATAAAAAGAGTCAAAAGACTATCAGTGATGCCGACTGTCCTGAAATTTGCAATGATATCTATTCTCCAACAAAGTAAGTAACAGTCAGGACTGCCCTTTGAGAGCCTAATACACCAAAACCAGTCCCAATTGCTGTAATTGTGTTCACTGTTTTGTTATCTGGTGTTACGATGCTTGGGTGCCCTTGATTGGGCTAAAAAGGTTCTGGAACATCATGCCATGTCAATCACAGACGCCACACACTTAGGACAGGACCGAAACCTGCACCTCCCCTCAACATCCTAAGGATACCAGAGGAAGGGGAAAAAAAGTAATGCAAGAACTAAACAGTCATACTTGTGCAGCAACATATTTTGTCCTCCACTCATGGGCCTTTCAAATTTTCATAAATCTCAGTGTTGTCACAGAGGATCAGACTAGAAAGTCAAGAACTCGCATATCCTTCTCTTGTACAGTGGGAGTCGCATTCAACGAGGTTGCCGGGACTAGCTTGTTGTCCTCGTTGGATCCGATCTCTCGTTGAACGTGAGTAAGTCTAAAGAAAGGGGGAAAAAAGTAATTATATTACACGAAGTACCAATACCAGTAATTAAAACAATCACGTTCCCACCCACCCCCTCCCTTCCCTACCGTAGGCCAACCTTCTCCCATCCTCTTGGCTTTGGGGCCCATATTAGGAGGCACACTACATCTAGCAATACCATGCGTTAGGAATGGAGGATGGGCCTTGTGCTTTGCATGAGATGGAGAGAAAGGAGAAAATGTTTTTGCTCTCTTGGCCGCCAATTGCCTTTATTTGGTTATCGTGATCTCGGTCTGTTTGCAACCTCATTGGAGCTAACATACATTTACAAAGGGATTTGGAGGAAAAAATCAGGGATTAAAGATTGCCTCGTTGGAGCCGACTTCTCGTTGAATGTGACCTTGTTGAATGCGACTCCCACTGTATTTGAGTATTCCCAACAACAAATAAAGGTGTGGTTTTCCTGTTGAGTGTAAAACTCTTCTCTTTAGGAGTAGGGTCTGTCTCAGAAATATGGGGTCACGGTCCTCCTCCCCCAGTCCTCTATGAAATCAGAAACTTCCACAAATTATGTTGCAGTACAGGCTGTTATGTGTTATGTTCAGCAGTTAACGTTTTTATGAAACCTGTGCTTGTCTTCCTGTCTCTTATCTGCAGGAGTATGGATGGGGTACATGGTAGGTTCTACTTTTTTGCTCTCCCTCTGTTGCTTTTGACTGTCATTTTGGATTTTTCCCCAGCAAGAAATGACTGTTATTGTGTTAATGCATGTTTTTTAAACTCAAATGTCTCTTTTCCCTTCAACTTTTCCAAACAGGGCGGGTAAGGGGAGGTGGGTGACATCACTAATAGATCCTACTTCTTTTCTTTTCCTCTTAAGTTTTGAGTGTATCATGATTTTTCCTAATCTCCCTTTACTCAATCTAAACTGAATATGTGAATTTTTCAAGTCTCTGTCTCCATTCCAGTAACTAGGCTATGGCATCTTTTCCTTCTTATTTTCATTACATGTACTGATCTTTGACTTTGAGTTCCAGCAACATAACACATGCATTATAACATAACAGTCTCATGATGCTAAGAAAAATGGAGATCACACATGAACACAAGAGTATTGCATACGGGTGATGGAAAGATTCATGGGATTAACGAAAACTTTTGAATGATTTTGAAAGAACAGCTTAAAACAACTTCATAAAACATACTTTTAATGTGAAAAACTGACAAACATGTACATCCCAACTGAAAAATAAATCGCCTGCTGTACAGATGCCTGACAAAGCAAAATGAAAAGGATCCTGCACTAACCAGATATTGTCAACAAAGAACATAATACTTCATAATCCCAGCATTTTTTATTACGTATGTCCGTAGAACATACTAAGGAGAAAAATCTAAATTGATACAGCTTGGAAGAAAGAAAAAGGCATGATTTAACCCCTAAGTTTGAGAGGACAATTTTACATGTTATAATACTGGTACATGTAATATATTGAAAAATGTGACCTGACACTAACAGTGGTCTTCTTATACAATTGGCTCTGCTTAGTTGAGCTGTTAGTTGGGACATAAGAAAGAACTTCTTGGTCATATTTGAAAATAACGACTGCTTTGGCTGTACATGATAATACAAACAAAGTGATGCAGCTCAAAAAGTGTTTTAAAAAATTGTGCAGGAAAAAAAATGCATGAAAACTATAAAATAAACTTTTTTCTCTTGCATTTTAACACCACTGAAAATATAATTATCAGTTTCATACCATAAACCCCAGCAAAATGTCTCAAAATATAAATCAGTAGTTTATTAAGTCGAAACACTGATAAGGGAAGTGTGTTTGAAGAATATAGGCAGAAAAATACCACAAATATAAGATACATTTTACACTTGTAAACACAAACATTCAGTATTATAAAAATACACTTTACGCAAAGACAAAAAGAAAAAAAAACCCATTCACAGCACTCGTTCAAACAACACTTTTTACAATCGACTTTTGTCATGTCCCCTGATGTTTTGTAACACACAAATAACATTGTACAGCAACAGATACACTTCACACTTGATAACGAGAAGAAAGCAATTGTGCCCCTTTATAAGCAGTTTGCTTTTGAACAAAACGCTGCCATAACATAAATGCCAAGGAAAAAAAAAAGTAGGGTAGTGAGTTGAAGCATATATGAGGCAGAAAAGTTAAAGATGCACAAAATGAAGAGTGTGGTCAACAAGAAAACATGTAGGCCTACTTGAAGTCATCTTGAAGAGGCGAAAAGGGTTTCCAAATTTCAAAATGACAGTGTTTAGTTTTAGTAAGGTTTTATGACGCTTGCAACTGCATCAGGTCATACATGAGCGTCAAGGGGTGGATGTCAACAGAGAAGTCCAAACGGGGAATCGGGCTTACTCTGCTCACCTCTCTAGCCTCAACAACACAAAGTCTGCTTCGACTATCAAGGCAGCCCGGAAATAGTTCACAAGAGAATGACAAACACTCAAAAGAAGTAGAGGACAAAGGACGATAGTAAGGATGAGGAAAGAAAAAGCAACAGCCCCCCCTATGTTGTTCTGGCACAGTATGAGCATGACATTGATAAATCAGCCCATTTACAATTCTACTGTGCATAAGAACAAGACGTTAATATCCCCCCTTTGGGAACGGCCTAAAGACACTTCAGTCAGTAGCACTGCAGGGGGGGGGGGGAACACGGTAATGACCGTGTAGATCTAAGAGAACATGTCAGTTTTGAAAGTGTTAGCAAGAGTATGAACAATGGATGAAATTTTGTGTAACCACAGAGGTAAAGTTGTAGTCTAGGATATATATCTCAAAAGGCAAGTCACTCAGACAGCATTGCTTAATTAAAAATGGATCAATAAAAAAAATCACCTTTATAAAGGAGAATTACATGGACTGGCCAAAAGAGGGCGAGTGTGACATTGAGCTGGTAAGTGAAGAAATGGTACGCATATATATAACTCACACAGTTTGCTTTTGGAGGAGCATGGGAAGGGGGAATGTGGAAAATCCAAAGTTCAAAATTGAATGCAGTGAAGTAATAATAAAAGTACATTCCCTTGTTGCAGTCAATTGTTTATATCGTTGAAACAAAGGGATATAGTCATATTGTATACATATGCATGAAAAACATAATTCTATAAATATATACATATATTGTAGGCTATCTGGCTCGGTTTGAAGTTTGATTCAGAACTCCATTACTGTAACTCATGAACATCTGTTTAGAGTATATTGTAGAAAAATCACGTCCTCGGTTTGACGCTACACTATCTTGCTAGTTCATTAAAAAAAAGAGAAAAGAAATTACCCCTTTGTGTGGAGAGGTAAAACAAAATGTTTCACAGCTTGAGGATTTAGGTGAGGTTTGATGGTTGCCTCTCAGTCTCAAACTGAATTTGACTTCGTGCAGGCACTCAGAGGATATGGAGGGGGATTTTCCTCCTAAATTTATCTAGCACCTGATCCTCCGAAACAGACTTAGTTTTTTCAATAGAGACAAAACCTCCCCCAAAACAAAACAACCTCCATCCTCCTTAAAAACAACTAAAAAAACCAACAACAACAACAAAAAAAGCTGCTTTCGAGTCAAGAGAGAGAGAGAGAGAAGTCTGCCAAAGAAAGAAATCAAAGTAAATGACTACAAAGGATTGAGGAAACTGATTAGTAAAAACAATGATAGGTGCCTCATAAATACATTGGCATGCATCTGCATGAAAGAAAAAACTGCCTTGAACATGAATCATTCAGTTTGGTAAATAAGTCAACCTTCGTTTGAGCTGAAGGATCTACATTTAGAAACCCGAATGAGGAACAAGGCCGAAGTTTCCTTGCACTTGAAACAGAATTAGTTTTTACACAAAGTAGACTAGAACATTTAACGTACATACGTCATGTCATACTGGTTTCAAAGATTTGTAGGCATAGTAAAATCCTGGAGAGATGAACAAATAATTGTGTGTTAAGACATCGAGACAGACAAACATCAGACAAGATTGAAATTTGGCAATTATGTCCACGGGGGTATGCTGTATACTGTATGAAGATGACAATGAAAGACAACTGTCTTTGGCAAGAGTTTCTTGGTTCATCCCACAAATTTTTTTTTCTCACACCAACCACTCTTTCTCTCTCACAAGCCTGATATCAATTTATCTGGGACTTTCCATCAAAACCAAACATTCGAATTACCCTGTACTACAAAGCCTAAAAAGACTTCGGGAAATTTTGTGAATCTTACAAGGTACATCATTGTTTCAAGTGGAAGGACCTCAGCTCAAATGACTGAAACACCAGGGAAAGTAAACAAAAGTTGTATCCGCATGGATGAAAGGGTATCTTTTCTTCCCCTGAATTTAAAAAAAAAAGATTTATAAGAAAGACATCACCTGACAGATCATTTCTTCATAATTTGATCAGACGGCTTAACCCTTTGTTTCCTGTTAGCCAGTCACATTAACAGTGAGCACTGCACTTATGCATGTTACTAAAAATACAGAGTACAGAGCAGGAAACAAAGTGTTACATTTAAAAAATGTACAATTAATACACTGGAAAGGAAGCAATATCATTGATTTTATGGTTTTAAAAAGTTTTAGTAGAGGTTTTTACGGCGCTCGCAACTGCATAAGGTCATATGAGCGCCAGAAGATAAGCGGTGTTTCAAGAGAGTAACAAACATAAAAAAGAAGAAGGGGAGATAAGGAGGATAGATGTTTGATAGGAAAGAAGAAGCAGACCACACCAGAGTACCCGCCAACCACGCATGATTTTATGTTTCTAATTACCGCCAACCACGCATGATTTTATGTTTCTATTTACCGAACATTACTAATCATAATCCAAGGAAAAAAACAAAAAAGATGTCTATCTGGCAGCTTTTGTCTGTCATCATCTCACCTTTTGTGGAGAGCATGATAATGGCAGAAGAAACACTGAAAAAATGTGGAAGAAAAAGGTCCCATATGAGCACTCACTAACCATCCATCCCAACTCCCAAAGCAGGAAAACCGCACAGACAGTGTCAAGAATTCATGAGTGGATGTATAGTATTTGTGTATCCATTCCTGGGAATAAACAATACACAGTTCAGTCAGTAGCTGCAAGCTGCAGTCCAAAGAAAACCCACAGACTTATGTGGAATCAAAGGTAACAGTTTAAACTGCGCATGCAATGCGTTATATAGTTTTTATAAACACAACAGCAGGCAAAATCTTACCAAGACATAGGACAAACCATGATGACACAACTTCCAACCATGGAACGGTACAAGCAATAACGATTATGGAAACATACACGAGCATTACAATATATCATAATAAACCTGTAGAGATATGCTCCAACCCTTACCTTCAGGATATGATTATGTTGATAAAGCAATGAGTTTTCTTATAAAAGCTCGCTGAAACAAATACTTTTAGTGCAGAAGACAAGATGGCACAAACTTGTGGCTGATATAGTTAGTGCAGTAATTATATTAGCCATTTCACGAACCCTGGGACAAGGCATTCCCTACAAACACGCCACAGGTGATGGGTAGGCCTATTGAAATTCTGTGTGATTTCGAAAACTCTAAAAGATCCTCTTGCGACACAGAGCCCTGATGGATAATTATATGATAAGTTTCAGCTTAAACTTAAAGCAAATCTAAAATGCCAAAGGCCTATTATTATCTGGCTGAAAAGGGGAATACCACTAAACTGAAAAAAAATTTCTCATTTCTATAAATTTGAAGTCATAACCTTATTACAAGTTGACAAAAGCAAAAATAAAGTTTCAAAAACATGAGTTAGTCACCATGGTGACAATTAGCCATTGCCACTCACGAAATTTAGTTAGCAACAAGGTTTCAGGTAAAAATCTAACCAAAATCACAAAACAAATAAACTGAATCAAAGCAATAAAGTACTCACTGTCTTGTAAAAATAGCAAATAACCAAAACACTTTTCAACATTTTAAAAGAGGTTGGTCCACTTCCGCTGTTTCCTTATAGTGATGGAGCTAACTAAATATTATCTGGAAAAAACAGCACATGAATTTTGAATCACAGAACATCACAGTTTGTGAACAACAAAGGACAAAACCCAGTAACAAGGAAACACCAGTGTCATTCTATCACAAAACTCCATACCAAAAATAAGTCAACGAGAATAAGGTAAGTTCAAACAGTAACAAGTCTCACTTTGTGATAAAAGCACAAACATGCATTGGAAGCTCAAGCTCAAACTACAGTACTATTATTATTACCACTTTTCCTGTCCTTCACATTAGTATCTTTCATCAGCTCAGAAAGGCACAGGATTCTTCTTTCTCATTGCTTTTTTGCAATCTTATGCATTACATTTACCTGGCCACAAAAAGTATCTGTTCGAAGTTTCACAGACTGGCAGGACACACACCAGCAGTTGTCCTACACGAAGTCACTGTGCTGACATTTACACATCAATACAAAATATGATCGCGCGGGGTTCAATCTCTTTGAGAGTCAAAGATCCCTGAGCAATTATGGCATGAAAGAAGATATTCCAAAATTTAATCACAACACATTGTCACTTCAGAACTATTTTGTCCAAAGTGCCTCTTTACTTTAGTACACCTTGGACAAAATAGTTCTGAGACAATGACATGGCATCATTATGCTGAATTTTTCCTTTTCACTTTGGGGAATAAAAAAAAAGCAGATACAAAGATTCTTAATGCACTAGTTGTCCTCTGTTTGGGCTCAAGAGAAGTATCTTCTCGTAATGAGGGTCCAGAGGAACTAGGGAAATTTGAGGTCTGTTGTGAGTTCATGACTCCTTCCAAAACAGTAAGGTAATTTATGAGGTGGGACATCTCATTCAGTATTCATCTGGTACACGAAACCATGTGAATATAACGTCTATAAAAGTCCAGCAAATGACCAGATTTCAAGAAAGTCCTGTTATGGATTCAAACCAGGGCAGCCAGCACCAGGGGAAAGCAGGAGAGCAGGCAAAATAATAGGTATGAAGAAGGAAGCCCTCAAACCAAAGATTACTATCCAGCAAGGTAGGTGCAAGACACAAAGATACAAAAGGATAGATGGAAAAAAAAAGGTATGTCTACCATTGCCACCCTAGCTCAAAATAGCAGCCCCTAGCAATGAGTGCGTGTGAAATGGAGTCAATATCACTTTGTACGGGTCATATTGGACACAGTAAAAGTCTATACCTAAAATAACATTGTATACCAAATTTTAGAAGGGAAAAATACCATTAAAAATCAGTTTGTTCTTTTCACATACAATGGAGTCGGCCTATTCCAAAATCTGCCAGGCAGCTGGATTTTCTTTGGTTTAGAGAGTTTTTGCTAAAATAGCACTGAAAAAAATTGGGGATTCTATTTTCTGTTGGTTTAGTGTCGTTTTCGGATTAACAGTGTTCGGTATTAATAGACTCCACAATTGTTCACATGACTAACCTGTGGCTTCGACAGTCAGGGAGAATCACAAAGCAATGAACAACTTGTGTACTTTTCAGTGTTTTGTTATGGAATTCGAATTCATGAACTAAAATTCACGTGTGTTCTCATATTTCATTGGTAATACTAAATGTTGTTGTAAAAGTCCTCAAAATAATCAGGGAAAGAATGTAAACCAACGTTAATTCTGATAAACAGACAAATGGACAATGTCAAAATACCCCCCAAAAAAATTTGCATCTCAACAAACATAAGATAATATGGTAGCACAGCATTCTTATTATGATAACACTTCCACAAAACAATAAAGAAAACCCCAATAACCTTTGCAAAACTAGAAATAAAAAAAAGGTTTCATTTTAATATCACATACATAAGCAACATGAATTTGAAGTAAGCAAACAAAAGTTCAAACAAATCTTAAGGTACTTTTAAACCACAGCCCCATAAATATCAGTGAAAGGAAAATCATGAGAAAAAAGAGAAATACATTGATAACAAGAATCACACAAACTGTAACTCAAAGATGAAATAAAGCAAGGAAAATTTCTACAGACAGCTCTTTGCATTTGTTGATGAGATAGCAGGGAGCCTCTCAGAGTTGACACTGACAGTTGTTTAACATCAGCTGGCCTTCTAACCATCTTCACTTTGTAATAAGAAAATTTACCAGACCCCGTTAGCCAGTTCTTTCACCTGTACTAAAGCCATGAAAATCAGGCTGTTGTGACCAGAGAGTCTGTCGTGGGCTGGCAATTAAATTCCCATTCAAACTTATCAGAACTATGCCCTATTGTGAAAAAATCAATATCATTTGGAATCAGCTTATAAAAAAAACCGCAATGACTCATGAATGACTCTTTTTGTCGCTGTTTTCTTAAAAACACTAAAAAGTATTCTCACCATAACTACATCAGGTCCCCAATTGTCACTTCATTATTTTCCTCGTTTGACAGTTAGCCGTTAATAGTAAACAAGTCTTATGACCAGTTGCAGGCTGGCTGAGGCCAAATTTGTCCAGTCTAACTGTAAGTATAATACACCCTTAAGGGAAATGATGCATCTCTGTAACTGTCAGGTAAGAGCAATACTGTGAACCAAAAGGACCAACACAGACTAGACAGCGTATCCCTAAGAGAGTGAGGTAAAACAATCCTACCTCCCTGTACCCCCACATCTCCTGTAGCTTTCAAGATAAACGCAATAAATACATACCGATGAATATTAAATATACAAGGGAAGTAAAATTTAAATTGTTCTAATCTCATGCATATGACCAAGATAATAGCTTAAATGCGAATCTGGCAGTAACCCGGACATCAGAAAACTTACACCAATAAGAGGTAAAAGTTAAAGTTAAACTGCTTATCCACAGAAAAATCACAGGACTACACAAGAGTTTCCCCGTCTGGAAACTATCTACCATGTTAGTACGCCCAGCGGGACTTGCAGAGATTCATCCTGATAGGCGCATATCGCTATACTTGACAAATTACAAAAACCTTTGAGAATAATAATAATAATTAAAAAAATTGCATTTATATAGTGCATATCCACGCTCTACAGCATGCTTCATGCGCTTTACAACAGCAGCTTTAACTGTCCCCTGCCGCTTTTCTGGGCTGGAGCAGCGAGGCTATTTCCCGTACCCGGTGCCGGTTGGCCACCATGTAGCAGTGCGTCTGCCACATCATGTTGATCAGCACCTGGATGTCGTGGCAGTCCAGGCTGATGTCTTCGGACAGCAAGGGAGAGAAGCGGTAATACGGCACGTTGATCATGCTGCACCAGGCACGCGCTCTGTCCACGGGGCGGCCCTCAGAAATTGTGGCCTGGAATGGAAAATAGGAGAGATTAATCCATGACCATGACTCCCAGGAGTCTAGGAGTTTACTGGACAGAGTTTGAAAAAAGACTTGCTACAAATAAAATTGTCTTTATCCCAGGTAAAATCTGTGAAACCATAAAAACTCCAAACTTTCTTGCAGCAGATGCAAATGATAAATTTACTTTCATTTTCAGAGTGATATTTCTGTGCTTAATCTTCTATTTATTGCCATTACTACAGCAAATACTGTGAAAGAAAGTGAGTTGACATTACAGATACAAAGATGCCAGCCAGAGAAGTGAGACATAACTGACCGGGGAACACTAATAATTTCCATGCACTCACTGAAATCAGGATTTTCAGATACACACTGGCCTACATAGCCACAGGCACCATCGTCATAAGAAATAAAATATAGAACAAAACATCCCAAATACTATCGCCTATACCGACAGAATAGTACTCACGACAAGTAAATCAGGAAAAAATTCTAAATAATGAAAATATTCATAACAAACATAGTCTGGATCACTGTTTTCAAAAGTTCCAAAACGGTCTCGCCCCCCCAAAAATCTAGATCCAAACTTTAAAAGAAAGTCACATGACACACAACAATGATATAGCTTAGCAAACAGTACTGCAAAGAACCTCATTCTACAGTTTCAGATTCTGCTCAACATTTTTTTCTCTTTCCCATTCTGCTTGTTTATGGAAGCCCTAACACAAACTTACAAGCATGCACACACATACTATCACACATACAGACAATCAAAGGCAATTGATAACACATCTTTTTAAACCCAAAATCCAGGACTGTACACAAAAATTGCACAAGCTGCATATTTAAAATTATCAAAATGTCAAGGCATGAGCAGTCTTGAAAACACCTAATTCACCCTCAACATTATTAACGCGGAACAAAACATACCACATTTTTACACCAATATGTGCTCTAGAGGAATAACAAAAACAAAACACATGTGAGGCTAAAATAACTCACCTGGTCTACCATGAGCCTGCCCAGGGCTGTGGCCCCAGCAACAGCTTTGTACACATCCATGATTCCGCCTGGAAGAAAGACATCCATGTTCTTCACCTCTTCACACGGTGGGCGGCCACACCCCAAGGAAATAACGCAGCCCATTTGACGTGCTTCTCCACTCCTTCCCTAAAGAGTTGCAAATTCGGGAAAAATTAAGGTGTGTTTATTTCATTACCGGATATATACTCATATATATACATTGTCCTTTCTTTATACCCCATTTCCATATTTTTCCTTTATGTGCCACATGATGACCACCAATGGAAGTTACATAAACATTTTGACAGCAATAGTCTTATTGAGAAAATTTTATGCGAGTATGGAAAGACATATAAAGGCAAAATAATAAGGCAGTCATGGTCTTAAAAAGGTGAAGTGATACTGACGATAATGACAATGGAATAGAGAATGATTAAGTATTCATTTATTTGTGCATTTTAAACTGTTTGCGATTTGTCCAAGATTAATTTTGAGCTGCTTTTTCACAAAGAAGACAATGATGACTATGGAGTTGATGATGAGTATAAAGAAATGTAAAAAGAGGACGTCCTCAAAACCCCGTTTATATCCATCCCAATGCCCATCTCACTCTTATTTTTTTCCTCATTTTCCAGATGGCGCATCACCATGACAACAATCACATCATTGATGACAGTGCAACTGAAAAGAAGACGGAGCAGACCCTATCAGAGTGCCCGTCAACTATGTGAGGGCACTTTACCCATCCCCCATACTTTGCTTCAGAATGAGAAACACCCACCAACATCTTGAGGCCCATGTTGTACTCGTGAACCTCCGTCAAAACGTCCAGTGTCGGGTTGTTGGAAATTAGGCCACCGTCCAGGTAACTGCCATAGCCCCTGAAGTAGGTCGGGGCTGCCCCACTGCTCCTGGCTGCCTCCCACAGTTTTTGCTCTGTCCACGACAAATACAAAAACAAAAACGATGAAACAAAAGAATAGGGCAAATGTAAGTGTTTGTGGCAGGTACAGTTCTGTCACACCAGATAAAAATATTTCTGCAGTATTGGTCTACATTTAATGCTCTGTAATGAAAGCACATGTGGCTTAAAAGGGCTGATACACGCCAGAAAATGTCAGTTGTAATGGGAAGAGGATAAAAAGTAAAGTAGACTTTGTTATAAATAAACTCTGAGATGTAATGACTTTTGAATATTATGATGCCTTTATCCATTTTAAGGCAGAAATTTGAGAGAAGGAAACCAGTAATATGACTTTTAAAAAGAATAAATTCAACACATTTGTATTTTTCCTTGACATCTTTTATAATAAAAATCCACTATAGCTATTAACTTAAGGCAAAAATTAAAAATTCTGACTTATTGGAATATACACACTCTAATAAACACATGTACAATACTGTATATGTATACTTACATACAGAGATCACATGCATACATGTTCACAATCTTTAATCTGCATTTTTTCTTCTTACATTCTTGAGAGATAACACGACCACATTCTACAGAGACAGGGAAGAAGTCAAACTAAAGGTCACAAAAGTATTAATGCAAAAGGGACATTGCAGGTTTCTGTTTTGTCAGTGGACTAAAGATGCCCTGGAAGGATCTGAAACACTAACCATGAGGTGGTGTTAAGGCCTCTAATTGGTTGGGTGGAGATGAGCTTGGGTGATTCAACGTTCTCTCAAAGTTCCGGAAGAAATGCAGGTCTGCTGGGAACCGGTCGCCAAGAACAGCTGACACAAGAAGTCTGTGAGATGATGAGAGTGACAAGCATGCTAACGGTTCTTGTGTGTTTAAAGTTTTAATTTTAGTATGAGTAACACCACAACTGTAACCCATATAGGTCATATAAGAGTGGAAGATTAGAGGTGTTGCTAGAGAGTGACATACAAAGAAAAGGAGGAGAGATAAATGTGATAGATATTTAATAAGAAAGAAGGAGCAAACCCCATTCAAGCACCCAGCAACCACTTGCTATAGGTGTGTGTGCATGGATGTGGTATGTAAATGCATGTGTGCACTTTCTCTTCTTTTCTTTATTTTCAGAAAACAGCTGTAAGCATGAACAATCCCCTCCCCCAATACAAACAGACAAGTCAACTTCGATTATCATGACCGACACTCACTTTGGATGCTTCAGATCTGTCATGACTGTGTCTTCCCCAAACTCTCTCTTCAGGAACACTTCAAACTGGGCTGGATCGTACGGGCGGGTACCTTTGAACACCTCGTCTTTCAAGCGCACGTACAGACCTTTCATGTACGGCAGAGAAAAACCTGAAGAGAAACAAAGTAAGGACTAACCTATCAAGAAGATATAACATAAATATAACAAACAAAAACAATCCCATGATATTTCACAGATAACATTTTCAATGTAATCTTCATAAAATGTTTTTCTAATTTCACAACAAAAAAATTTCCGGTGGAAATAAAAATAAACATTAACAGTATGCAAATATCAATACTAAAGTTTCAGACAAAGTGAAAGATTTGCTAATGTAAAAGACCATGAGTATGGAAATATTACACCTCTCCCACAAGTATAATACATATTCGAGGACATTTTACTTGGCAGAGTCCTCATGCCAATGAATAACCCAGTAAAATAAATGACACTATGGCAATATTTCTCCCAAAACTACTGGCATTTAAAGCATGAGACGATCTGCAGTCTGCAAGTAAAATAGACCCAAGGTAGTCTTGGGTGAAGCTGGGGAGGTATTAAAATGTGAAATAACATAATTAAATCCCTCACCTTTAGCAATGCCCATGGCCAGAATTCCGCCAGTACTAGTCCCCCCAATCCAATCAAAACATTCTCTTATGGGTCTGCCGACCGCCGCTTCAATTTCCATCAAAATCTGGATCAGTACCAAGCCACGGATTCCTCCACCATCCAAACACAGGATCTGGGAAGAGTTTGTTTTGATGAAAGTCATCATATTACTACAAACTGATAAATCAATTCGAAGGCGGAGTGTTTGGCCCATGAGATACAGTATACGAGATGGTAGAACCACAGGTAAACAAAGCATAAAGAATGTCCTCAAATAAACAAAACAAAAGCATTCCTTAGTTTCAGAGTTTTTCACTTTTAAATGTGAGTGTTTTATACCCCTACTGACACAATGTATATAATTTAGGAGACAGGCTTCAACCCTGTCTGTCAGGGCCAACACGGGCTAAGAAGGATACAGCCTTTGTGAAGAAAGACTGTATTACTCAATAAAAATTCTCTTTACATGGGAATCAAACTCGTCTTCAGAGTGTGACAGCAAAACACCTAACTTCTACACCACAGAAGCTGGTGCTTAAGAGTTCATGTGTGTCCTTCTACCATTAAGAAAGTAGCACCTCTTGCTGGTGTGCGGAATGTTTGCTACAGCCATTCTCATCCACTACAGGAACTGGTGATAGTAACAATTGTAGTGAGTAGTAACATGGGGTGAATGGTATACAAACCAGTGCCAGAAGCAGATTAGAACTTTGGTTCAACAGTTAAGGTTCTTGTCAATTGTTTTAACAACATCTTAGAGTAATTTCATAATATTTATAAGGACACACACCCCCCACAATAATAAAACCCCCCCAAAAATTAATTTCTCATAAAGAATTCAAATTTATTTTCTGTATCCTTCAAAATGACCACCTGTCGATACTTCTACATGATTTCTGTCACTTTTTTATTCATTAAAGCATCTGCTCGATAGCTTTAGACCAACCAATTTAGGTAATATAAATTCATGGTGACCGAAGACACCAAACTGTCATTGACAACAAGAAATGACAACAAATTTCAACATTGAATAACCTCAAGCCTTTTGACACAGGAAGGTTCCACTATGTGCATATCCCTTATGACTGTTGTAAAAGTAAAATACACCCAGCAGCTCAAGAGCTTTCACTCTTCAGCCTAACCCTGTACAATGCTACCTTCTAGTGCAGCACAACTGTAGAGATGTTCAGTGTAAAGAGTGGTATGTGTCTGGCTGCTGGGGAAGATGATCTCTGTGGGCTAGGCTGTCAATCCCACCCTATGTGGCAAAACTTACCCGTTCACCTGCAGAAACAGGGGTATCTGTCATGTCGATCACTGAGCCCCGGTGTTGAGGAGATGTAGCACTATGCACCACCGTACTACACAACTGCTCATCAAACAGGGCTGGGAACGTAATATAACACTTATATAAAATACATATCAAAATATCCCAAAGAAACAATTCATCAGAAAGATTTTCATACCAACTCTCTGCTAGCTTGGACCCTCAACTTAGCTCAACAAAGCAAGATCAAAGCATATAAAATGAAAGGTCCCAGAAAGACGCTAAACATCATGAGAAGAGACAAACAAAGAAATGAAGACATCAGACTATAAGTAGGCATTACATCAAGCATGCAGTACGCCAAAAGTCAATGAATCAAATGGAATGGACACCTTATGAGAAATGTGGCCACAACAGACAGTTTCAAAGGCCCACAATATAAGATTCAATAGGTTCAAATCTCGAGGAAGACCAAAAAAAAGGTGGAATAAGGGAGTTAAAGAGACCCTCCAAAGGAACAACAATATGACCCTGGCATGTCCAGCTTGAGTCCAACAATTTAATTTTCCCATGACACCTCATGTTGTAAGAGGACAGAAAAGGTAAAACTAAGTAAAGTACTAAAGAAGTAGGAGAACAAATCATGGAAACAAAATTCACAGTGAATAGAAAAATCAGAGTATTATAGATTCAGCCTACTGCCATTACTCTTAGGAATGTCCTGTCCCACAGAATGAAACGAAAAATGATTGAGTATAATATGTTCTTTAGCTTGAAACGAAGTACAATAGGGAAATCCAACATTGCACCAACAACAGCTATGAGAGGTGGTGGTGGTGGTGGTCGATGTGGTGGTAGTAGAAGTAGTGGTAGTAGTAGCAGCAGTAGAGGTAGTGGTAGACAATGTTCTGCCAGTGTAGACAAAAGTGTTTGTGCTGCACTGATCTACATTTCATGCCACAGTGATAATGACACATGCGACTAATTATGCCAAAGCATACTACAAAATGCTGATTGCAGTAAGACGAGGCAAATAATGATGAGCACTTGATTCTGTGTTACATCAGGAGTTGAAAATACGATAAATACACTAACTTTACAAAACTCACTACATCTATTGTCAAAAGTCTGACTCTAAAAAAAACAACCAAAACTCTCAAATGTCATGTGTCTAGCTGTGTAGGGGGCAGGGGAGGAGGTAATGATATTGTCGCTGCTGAATTCTGCTGGATTCTAAATGGGTAACTCAGTTTCTGTAAATTTCACAAGAGTGAAAAAACTAAAAAGCAAAGCTATTAAGCACATTTCAACTGTTAAGAATCCAACGTTGTAGTGACTATTTGGATAGGTTAATCTGGCTGAAAGTTATTTATATAGGACGTGTTGTGTGATGTCAATTTTCTCCCTACTTGCTGCATCTTCTGGCCATCTCTCCTTCACATAGATGACCAAGTACTCACCGACATTGTCCAGTTTCATGAGCGCGGACATGGTCTGGTCTGGTGTCCCGTTCACGGTACCCTCGGCCGAGCAGCCAGAGTTACAGCCACTCATGGAGGTGCTGCACCGCGTGGCTCCCGACACATGAAGTAAATACAGGATTGTGTCCCTGCACAGGGGGGGGAGGGGGATGGAGAGAAAGAGAAACGTCTTAATGCAATTGTCTAGACACTGTGGTGCTAGAGAGATATGAGGGGTAAATATGACATCTTTACACAATGTTGATCATGGATGGTTCAGTAGGAGGAGTGTGATGTTAGAAGGGATTTGATGGTAGAAAGTAGACACATCTTAGCAATAATGCCACAGATTGCCTAGCAGGGGTAATGTGATGTTAGTAGAGATCTGGGAGGAAAACAAAGAGAAATTTTAACAAGAAGGTGAAAGTCACACAGGCTGATTTTGAGTAGTAATTTGTCATAATTGTATGAGTTTAACATCTTTTTAAGGAATACAATGGAAATACAAATCAGGCCATCTTGTTTCTCTACAGATACAAATGTAAAACGCAATGTCTCAGAGGTGACAGAAAATGATCTTATGACATTTTATCAAAATTGTCCCAAAAAATGCTGATGAAGCTTATTTTCAACTGAATGAGAGTATTCTTATAGATCACACAGACTGGCACATATTTCACATCACTTCTTCCAGTAATAAAAAATGTATCACTTTGATGGAAAAAAATTGAATACAAAAAAGCTGTTTTCACATTTAAAAATACCAAAAAACAATTCTTCCTTTGGACCCCTCTTTTCTATCCAAATTAGAATATTTTTCATAGAAGTGTTAGATTCTAGCTTTTTTTCATGTTTATTTCAAAAGTAGCTTAGCATATTTAGCATATCTTGGATATCGGGTGAAATTAAAAAATCATCTTAAAAGAAAATCAAAGAAAACTATTTCACTTTCAAGATTGTACCTAAAGGTAAGGGACAGTGTGTTATCATGAAATTTAAAAATCGAAAGAGATAATAAAGGGAAGGAGGATGCAGGGTTAAAATAACTGTTCAGTTACTTTCCCCATCCCTTCCATTCCTATTATACTTTGAAATATAGCACTGATAATACAGCAAAAGATCTATGTCATATTCAAATACTGTCTGATAGGTCAAGATTAAGAACTGGTTAAAAACAAAATTACTGAAAAAAATTGAGGTGAGAGCAAATAGAACAATCCTCATAGGAAGGTTAGGCTTCATATTACATTCTTAGAAACAAAAATGATTTGCTTTTATATAGAATGCATAAGTTGTGAGATAAGTTATGAGAATATCTATGGTTTTTGTGAGATTCCCTCCAAAGCACTAACCTCTTTCACTATTTCACATACACTTTTCAAAAGCAAATCACCATCTTGCCCTTGACAACTTCAGAAAAGTTAATCTAATTTCACATCTCCAACCAGCTGTTAAAATGTCGAAGGTAAAAATTTTTTAGTTTTTGCTTTTTATTACAGTTTCTTAATTGGTTGATTGTGGTCCAGAAATATTTGTCGAAATTCAAATTCTAAATGTTGAAAAAGGCAAGAGAAAACATGCAAGCGGCAATGTAGGTACAATTTGTTAAAAGAATGAAACATTTTTTTCGTTCGCCTGCAAAGTTTTGTTTTCTTGAGTTAGTACACCTGAACAGCTTGCCGACGATATCCAACAGTGGGACTCAAATTATCCTCAGTAATGGAGGAGTCCTGTGTGATTAAAATGCACTCTCTGCTAAAGAAGCAGAGCTACACAATTTGATGCAAATCATTAGCAGCTAGGGTGGTCTCTGATTTTTAAGCATGAAACTCAAAGCCAGACAAGTGCCACAATTATGGTCTCAGAAAACAAGTTATTTCACATCCCAGTCTAATAAGTATACAAAGCTCTTAGGATATCCTCTCTCAAAGTGCACTAAAATATCCACTGAGATGTGAGTACAAACAGAGGAGTAAATACTGCATATCCTGCACTAAGGTCTTTGAAACAACACAACTACAGTTTTTGAACACTCTCAATACAACTGATAAGATAAACAACTTATCACAATGAGTCATGGACAGTGTACAAATATACAGTTTAAGACATACCATCCTCTTCATAGAAAAGACTATATCCAATAATCTTTAAGAAATATGTTAGCAGCGGTGTTTTAAGACGAAAACATTTGTGCTCATTTCATTTAGCACACCACATATAGTGAGACTTGTAGATAGAACTAAAATTTTAAACATAAAATTGCCTTGTTTTCTGGATTTCAAGTAACTCCTGTACCAATGAATCAAATAATAGTTGCATACAGACACATTGTACGAAAATGAATATAAACTGTGTACATAATTTACAATAAAAAGTAGGAACCTAAAAAGAAGAAGCCAAAAGAAAACAAGACCTTGACACCCACAAAAAAAATCAGAGCAAACCATTGCAAAGCCCCAAAGCATGTTGAAAATACACTGAGCACAAAGTTTGCTCCAAGCAGATGCTAGGAATATGGAGAGCTATAGGTAGCACAACAGGCACACAGTAATGAGTGTAATATGATTCAGATTACCTTTGAAAGTATTGGCACTACAAGAATGACAGAATGTTTATCCTTGGGGTGTAGGAACATCTTGGCTAGTAAATTGAACATGGTCTCGAATTCACAGGAGTTGGGGAAAGGGGGGGGGGAGGCAGGGATTGAGGGAAGGAGTGAAGTTGGGAGGGAGGGGGAAAAGTAGGGAGAGAAAGAGTGAGAGAGAGAGAGAGAGAGAGAGAGAGAGAGAGAGAGAGAGAGAGAGAGAGAGAGAGAGAGAGAGAGAGACTGTATCTTAAAAAATAAAATAGAGCAAGCACTAAACTACTTTAAAACTAGCAAGGCCGAAAGATCTGCACACCTTACTTTACAAAGACCAAAAGCCCCCTTTTCAAAATTTCATTTGCCAAAATTGTTTCATCCTCCAGCAGTCAGAATTTAAAAATGCTAAATGTTTATGAATGCAAACAAAACAAATAGCCTTTATCTATTTCAAACTGTTATCACCTATTCCTTTAGCGAAGGATCAGTTTTGACAAAAGAAACAGAGTCTGTAAACAGATACTAGAAGACGTGAATAGCATAGATGATAAGTGTTTTCCCCCCCTAACATCACATAAATTTATCGAGGACCTCAGACTAAATAAGAAAACACATATTTACAACATTTTTAAACAACTATGAGTGAAAATATTGGGGATAATGGTGAGCTGACCAAATTCCATTCTAGCCCATGAATCTTTTTGCCCCCAAGAGCATAAAATCAAAGAGTGAAAGAAGAGCTTTATAAAATATTACAACTGAAGTTACATTTATAGGAAAAAACACAGCCATGAAAAAAAAATTACTGTAGATTTCCAGACATTGGTAAATATATATTTACTTGAAACTCAAAGTTTCTATCTTTGAGTGCCAGGCTTGACATGATGACAATTTTCATAATCCATCAACACACAGAGAATGTGATATATTAATCTCTTTTCAGGTAGGTATATGTAAGTGAAGCACAGGACATACTTTTGTGAGCTTACAGGAGTAAATGGCTAGGTGACAGTTTGTACAAAAGTTCACAAGGATGAATCTGCAAATACAGAATCTCTAAGTTTATTATAGTCACGAAGTACAAAACACCGAACTCACAAATTTACAGCAATGAAGAGCAAAGTCCGATGAATTCACTATTTTTGTACCAAAAGTATAAAAGAAAACTAGTTTCACATAAAAGAAAAACAAAACATATTGATGTAATGATAGAAGAAAAATAAGGGCAAGTGTCCCCTTAGTTTCACGAACAAGGTAGAGGTAAGTGTATTTTGTAGTAATAGCTTTAAGATAGCATAAAATAAATATACATAAAAATGTTATAAGCTAGCAGAAGCAGTGCATTATGGAAAATTGCTGAAAAAGCATTTTCAGGCATTCTGAAACTGCAAGACTAGGTCATCAAATGCAAAGGAAAAATTTCCTTTCTTGTTTATGTTATTTCCAAAATCTGGCAGTTGTTAGAGGCTTGGGTATGATAGCTACATGCAGTGATACCTTTAGAGAAGATGAATGTTCACAAGCTTTGCTGCTACAGAATACTTCTTTCACAAAAATATTTTCATTAATTCACCAAGAGATGACATTCCCTAACAGGCATCACATTTATGCACTATTGAATTTTCAAAACTGACTGTTAGCTGTCAAACCTAATGTGTTAGTAAACGGTAAAATACAAATCACGTTTCAATTGTAATTCAAATTTCAGAAAAGTGAGTGTCAAATGTACATATCTATTTTAGAAAATTAGAAGGAAAAAACCCAACCCGATAACAGTTTGAATAACTTTCCATTCTGATTTTTTTTTTCAATTGAGATATGTGAATAAAAAACTGTAAACTAAATGTTTCCTTTCCTTTACCACTGTATAAGTGCAAGTAATGAAATAATTTCAGCATAGCGTAAAAACAAAACGAGAACCAAAAAGTGAAAAAAGGAAAGGAAAAAATGTGCACTAGATGACCATGCGTTTGGCCAACAACCAACATCTTTGCTATAGGCAGGAGACACCCTCAACTGGAAGGCAAATTTACTAACCCCACAGGTTGTTCCCGACGTAGGAACGAGTACGAGCTGCTGAAAATGAAACAAAAAGCTATTCGTCGAGTTGATATTATCAGACTATTTGACTAAAACAAAGCAAAATTAGAATTATCCTAAACATCAGTATACCATACACTTTTGAGAAAAAAACAACCCCCCCCTAAAAAAAAAGCTTTAGAGTTGCGGGGAACCACTGAAACACAATATGTGCATAGTAGTGATGGACATACCAAGTCAGCAAGACGAATAATGAATAGAGAGGTGTATGGTATGACTTATTTTAACAAACCACTATCATGTTGTAATGATTTAGTGCTTGAAAAGAGGAAAGCCATAGATAGGAAACGTACAGATATCATTTGTGTTTTTTTTTATAGTTTAGTGTCCGATTTAAACACAACTGGGTCATTTTGAAAGTCCAGCAGTTGGCCCAGCAGTTGAAGTAACGAAAGCAGATGAAGGAAGGAAAGAAGTAGATCAGCAAACAAGAACATTTACGCATTAGTTCATTGGTGCTATTCTATTAGTGGTGTCCATCTGCTGGATAGTTTTATGTATGAGTACTGATCTCTAATCCACCCCCCCCCCCATCCCCCATTCTCGACCATGACAGGTGCCAGTTTCGATTCTAGGACTGTTCAGCAAATAAGACAATACGATAACTTTAATTAATTCAAACCCCTTTCGAACATCCCCTTCCCCTAATTTGAACATATTATCTTTTCATGGTACATCAAGAGAGAATGATGAAACAAAAAGGTGTACATGAACTCAAAGAATAGTAAAAGTAGATTTTTGATCCCTCATTCTAGAAACGGGTTAAAAGTATCTTTCATGCATGACGTCATCACGGCCCACCTGAGGCCCCACACTGAGTGGAGACCCCACATGCGCACAGTGGGTCAAGTGGGTTTCAAATAAGGGCTCAAGTTCACGTTTACCAAAGAATGTGATTGGATGCTGGAAAAAAACAAAACATGCTGACTGATAAAACAAATTGAGTGAATAAAAAAAAAGCATTGAGACCCTCCTGCCATCTGAATTAACAACAAAAAGAATTATTTCACAAAAACACAACAACAAATTATATACAGAAATAAGTAAATCACAAGACAAGACACACGCTTTTCATTAGTCAAAGCATTAAAAGTTAAAAAAAAAGTATAAATAAGTAGTGAGACACTGATATATATATGCCCTGCTAAAGCAAATCAGTAATGCAAAAAACCAAAAAGACACTTGTAAGTAAACGAATTAGCAAGCCATGACTGTATTTAGAAATAAAAATTTGAACTCATTTAAACTAATAACCCGTTGCCCTCTGATCTTTCCTATTAAAGCAGGAGACAATACAAGTCTCCAAAGACAGCGAGATTTTAAAGTGAGATTATGCAAAGAATTTATTTAGAAAATCCTCCGGTCCAGGAAAAAAAAAGAATGAACTAATACAGAAGGTGACTTAAATAACCCCTTCCTCATGAGGCTAGTTTGGGAAATATTTCCACAGTACTCACCCTACTTCTCTGAAATGAAAAATAAATTACACAAATATAATTAAACCTAAAACCCCCTCCCAAAACAAAACATTTCCAACAAACACTGAAAATCAAGAACTTAAGAAAATAAAGATAATCTTGTACACAAGGGTAGTCTATTTTAGCTTGAACATAAGTAAAAAAAACAACACTACAGAACATTGTAAAAACTCAACACAATTGCTTTCAACTTGCAAGCAAATAAGAACACACTCCATTGAACATTTATGTGCATTAAGAACAAAAAGTATTCTGCTAACAATTTGAAGAACATAAAATGATTAAAAGACATTCTCATTCACTGCTACAAATAAGAAGAAAACAGGTGATTATGAATGTTTTGAAATTCTTCAACTTCTATTGGTTTCAAACTTCTAAAAACTACAGTAAAATAGAACATTCTTTGTCAAAAGAGTGATATTTACTATTGACACAAGAAAATAAACTGAAGAAACATTGCAACTTTATATAACTAAATGTACTTGTTGAAAAAAAGTATAGAGCCAACAATATAGGCTTTTCTGAAACATTAACATAGTAAAAACTGTTTCTTCCCACTACAAAATAAGCCTGCAACACTTTGAACAATAAATAAATTTCAATATGAAATTCTTCAATGCAACTTCAACACCAACTCAGAGCTAAAAACTAAAGAGAAAGCAAGTACACGGCCACGTCACTCTCTTTCCTTCCTTCTCCCACTTCCATTCTTTCTATTTCTCTCACCTGTTTCTGCCTCTGTTGACAGCTGCCATATGTCTGGGCTTGACACCTGATCCTGATGCTTGGTTAACATCTGCACCAAAAACCACAAACTGACGAACCAGGTCCAAGTTGTCTTCCTGCAACACAGCAAGACAAACATATTACATTAGTAGAGACTGGGAGAAAGTGAGACACAGCAAGACAAACATATTACATTAGTAGAGACTGGGAGAAAGTGAGACACAGCAAGACAAACATATTACATTAGTAGAGACTGGGAGAAAGTGAGACACAGCAAGACAAACATACAGTAGTAGACACATGGGGGCACAGTGAGACAAGGACATGTTACCTTGATGGGAAATGAGAGCAACGAGTCTGCTTACTCACTTCACCATAGAGGCAAAGAATAATTGGTATGGCTGGAGGAGGAGGAGGAAGAAGAGGAAAAGGAGAGGCAAAGAAAGGGTGAGAAAGAGAGGAAAAAAAAGTAGGGGACGGAGAAAAAGAGAGAGAAAGCCAGAGAGAGTGTTTAAGAAACATTCATCACTGCTGTATACAGCCAAAAACAAATTTGTTTAGAGATCAGCAAGGACTGCTATTGTCACAGTCTGCTGCTACAAACCTGGATGGCCTTGTGCAGAACACTCTCCCCTTTGGCATCCAGCAGGTTGCAGTTTGCCCCATGACACAGCAGGGCCAGCAGGCAGTCCGACTTCTTTTTGGCCATCATGATATGTAGTGGCGCGTCACCGTTACTGTCTGTAATGTCAAGCTGGCAACCCAGCAGAGCCAATTTCTGGATGGTCTGCGAGGAAAATGACAATGTTTCAAAAACAAATTGAGACATAGTTTGTGGTAAGTCTACACAATGCTGACATACTACACCGGTATAAGAAAAAAGGAAAAAAAAAGACCATACAAGAGTACGTACCAACAAACCCCGTTTCAGGAAAAAACAGTAAAGGGAAGATAGTATTGGGAAGAATGGTAGTAAACAATCAGACTTACTGTTACATTTAGTGAGGACGATCAGGACAGTAGCATAATTGTAAGCAAAGGAGGAGACATTCCTTTATGAAAGCACCTTATAAATAAAAGCAACTTCACTAACCTATAACATATGAAGCTACAGATCCCCAGTCAATGTAGCTATATAAGAGAATCCACTTCTGTTTACCAGTTTTAGTTAACAACCATTCAATGCAATATTCCAAACATTCTGCAAAGAACAGATAAGGCTTTTAATACCAGTACCAGCAAAGACAAGCACAAGAAGTATATCACATCTTTTAAACAACTTGCAAGTTCAAGAAGAAAGCTTAATCAACTGTGCTCAAATTACTCTGTTAGTTCAGCTGAGCCAGCCTCAAGAGCCTACAACACCAAGCACTCAGGCTATAAAGGAAGAGGAAGGCCACGCAAAAGGTGGATTGAGGGTGTCAAGGAATTCCTAAGAAAACATAACATCCCAACTGAAAGAGCTGCGGAGCTGACCTACCATAGAAAACTGCATCTCCCCCCGACGCTTAACGGCAACAGAGGATGAAAAAGTAAAAGTAAGTAAGTTCAGCTGAGCTCATGGTTCAAGTAAGACAACAGATGGAAGGAGGAATCTTTCACCTGAACCATTGGTCCACTTTGGGAGTTTTGTGAAAGCTAAGTCATTACTGATGACCAGCAGCTTCAAATGAGTCAACACGCTAGTGACCATATTGTGCTTGAACAAGGTTAGGGTTATAAGCAGCTTTCAAGAGAAGCAGCAAAAGCAGACACGTCTGGTGCCCCAAAACTACCCACAGCAGGAGCTAAAAATATGGCAAGATGCTGAAGCTGTTATCAGCACTAATCACCTCCACATCCTCGGCCCAGTGCAATGGACTGCCTCCAGTCTTGTAATCTTTGGCGTTTGCCTGCTCTGGATGTTTGGAAACAATCAGTTCAAAAGATCTGAAATACAAAAAGTAATAATCAGTCAAACATAGAGATGTTCCACAGAGGCAGAACATCTTTATTCTCATAATCTTCTTTTCCTCCCTTCATTCCCCACCCCTCCCCCCTGTTCTTCATCAATTGTAAGATATAAAAAAGAATAAAAATGAAGGCAAAAACACATAAGAGCAAATATCAATTACGTGAAAAAACTCCCTCAAGATCAGAAACAAAACATCTCAGTCTCACATTAAACTTCACTTTAAATCATGTTATCTTAATCTAAACCATGTTTACGGGTATTCCATTTTAATCAATTTGTTTTCTAGGCTCTGACTCGTTCTGGGAGAGATTTGCAATAGATTTGGATTTTGTTTTCTAGATCAAGGTGAATCTAGAAGATTTACCAGAGGAAGAAAGTTACATGTTTCTATTTCTACTGTTGATTGTAATAAGAGACTTAATATATATATATATAATAGTAGACGATACAATCCAGAATCAAAGAGCAGCAACACTAGCAACAAAATGTTTTTCTTGACACCCCTCCCCCCCTCCCAAAACAGTGAGCAAAATGTATTGTAAAGGAGATAAACTCTATAAACTTTTTAATTTTTATAGCTCTACAACATATATAAAAGTAAAGGTAAAAAAAAATAGCTTTTCAAAAATTGGTTGAAAAGTCTAAACTCATGGGGTTCATTTCAAAATCAGAGTTGATCTTCTGTGATTTAATCAGAAGCATCGGCACAATAAAATACTATTTCAAGATAAGAGGTACCTACTTCAAATCTCGGGACCTAATAGCAGCATGTATCGGCAGACAGTCGGCGCCCGCCACGCGTGGGTCCGCCCCAGCCCCCAACAGTATCTCTGTGGCCTCCGTTAACTTGCGCTCACATGCAAGGTATAAGGCGGACTCTCCCTTGGCATTCAGACTGTTGATCACACCTTGTTTGTCAAAGTCCACTAAAAGCTGTGGGAAGAATAGATAACAAAAAAAATCAACTTCATCTGAGAGGGTTTATGGTTTTCAGGCCTTACATGAAGCTCAACTGGCTTTTTCTGCCTGTTTAAAGAGACTTAATATAGGAAAATCATTGTTTCCAAGACAAAAAAATCAAACTCTTCTAATAATACACCATACTCTGATATGTTCTTACGGTAAAAGGATAAAAGTCAAAATTAAACTGAGAGAAAACACATATTCACCACATACAATATAGTTTGCTTAAAAAATGAAATATGCATGTGTGTGTGTGTATAATTGTGAGTGTGTGTGTTGGTTGGAATGATACTGTAAATTAATATTTTGCATCAAAGAAGCTGGTAAAAGCAATTTTAGGTCAGTTTCTTTGAAAGGAGGAAAAATAAAGTTCACAGTACCTCATGTTAACTAAACTTGATGCAGTGCGGTGGCTCTAGTACCCTCATGAAAAGATTGTCGCATCTTATTCCCTCTTTCCAAAATTCAGTCAGTAGCCTATCCTCCTCATCCCCTCCCCAGACAGACTTACAGCAACAACAGGTGGGCAGTTGAGCACGGCAAAGTGGTAGGCAGTGTCGCCGTGTTTGTCCGCCTGACCAAGCTGACCGCCGAGCCTGAGGACTTCCTCTGCAGCTGGAGCCTGCTTGCCTGTAATGGCCGTCATGAGCGGGCTCATCGAGTGGGTGGAGCACACCGTGTTGATGTTTCTGAAAAGGTAAAGAAGAAAGTCAGGATGGAAACATTTTATTATAACAGGATTAGACATCTCACGGAAAACTTGCATTTTCTGTATGGTGGCCTGCACAACACTGTAATAAGCTAAAAAGAAAAGAACCTTGATGCCACTTGGAAAAACAAAACCAACTTGTGAAGCTTCCTTTGAACTAAAACTACTGGAACAACTACATGGAAGGCACTATTTGGTAACAAAAATTGGTAGTGCTTGTTTTGTATTGGCATATGTCAACAACAACAACAGCAATAACAAGAAAAAAAAGCATCAGATATAACTTCTCCACTGAAAAAGAGAAAATGTGGGGGGAAGGAATTAACTCACTCTTTTATTCCTGGATGTCGGAGACAGCCGTGGTGGCCCAAGTTAGCTGAGACATGAGCGCTGTTCCAGGACGGGTGCTCCCTGATGCAGTCGCAGATCTTCTGCAGCACTTCCTCCTGCAGGTGGAGAGCTCCGCTGTTCACCATGGGCACCAGCACCGCCACCAGCAACTTGTACAGCACCTGGGCCTCCTCCTCACTTGTCTGTCGGAACAAGCTGTAGCCCAGTGAGATGAGAAAAAGTCTTTTAGTTTAATCAAATAAAATGTAGTGTCTCTCTGGCATCATTTACATGCATGGTAAATGTATATGTATGTGCTTCATGACCACTTTAAGGTGTCAGTCAGGAGTATTTATTACCAACTTTCATTCACCCTATAAAATAGTATACAAGCATTCTTTTTAAATCGATATTTCCAGCTTATTTCTTAATTGTTTAAAAAATGCTTTACACAATACAAAGACTGAAACCAAGAGCAGAATGATATGTTTTTCTTCTAAGAAGTTTTCATGAATTTTTAAAGTTAACCAATCAAGAAACTTCATTGATCCATGGTCATAAAATTCACACAGTCAAGAAGCACAGACATATATATTATATATATTACCTCTTTCTGTTTTTTCCTCTGGTAACATTTTCATTTTGTTAGAACTAACAACATTTATTACTTTCAAGTCTTCTCTCTGGCAGCATGATAATATGCTGTGCTTATATGAACCCTTATTTTTCTTATCATATTGATTTTTTCAATTATAGGTCGGGATTAATATAGAACTTGAAGCAGCTCTGGAAAGGTCTACTCTTCTCCAGTTTTCAACAATTAAGGTGTCTTGAACTATTTTTACATCATTCTAAATAGAAGACTATGAGCTAGATATTCCCTATCTAAAGATTAGGGAGAGATATGGGGTGCAAATAACCTGTCTCAGACGTGCATAAAGATGATCCAGGTTTTCTCGAAAAGTGTCTGAAGAAGTTACTGAGGATCAAATGGACAGACAGGATTACCAACGAGGAAGTATTAAGAAGAACGAGACAGAGCCCAGTCAGAGATGAAGTGGGAAGAAGGCGTTGGCGATGGATTGGACACACTTTCAGGAAGTCAAGTAGCTGCATAACAAGGAAAGTGTTAGATCGGAACCCACAGGGTAAAAGATCAAGGGTAAGACCACATGGAACTTGGAGAAGAGTCAAGGAAATGGATGTACAGAAAAGAGGGAAGACATGGAGTGACATCAAGCGACTAGCCCAGGATAGGGAAAGGTGGAAAGTGTTTGTTTGTGGCTTATATCCTGATCTAGGGTGAGAAAGGCAATGATGATGAGGGGGTGCAAATGTGTGTATGTATGTGTGTGCATGTGTGCGTGTATATGTGTATGTGTGTGATTATATGTGTGTATGTATGTGTGTTTGCCCATGTATGGGTGAACAATCTAAGAAAAATGTAAACCAAGAAAAAAACCCAACAGTCTTCTGATTATGTGCATGAACTTGCACACATAAGAAGCAAGCAGACATCTAAGACAATGAACCCCTGACAAGGCAGGATCAGAAAGCAACAGCCACTATCCAAAGTATAAACTATTTTTCTGTATCTTTGTTTACAAAAGATGATGAATGAAAAGAAAGTAAAGAGGAGGGGGGATGGGGAACACAACACAAATCGTAACACAAACAGCAAAACAGGACTTGGGATTCCATTTTCGCTGGCCTTGTCAAGAAAGTTAGAAGGATGATGCATGGCAATCAATCCAAGAAGCAAATACGTAACTCTAACCTTGCATTAAAGCACACACCTGTACATTTTTCCAGGAACATCAGGCCGTGTGATGACACATTCAAAGGTGGTAGAGCGACGATATAAAGTCAAGCACCCATCCTGCTTGAGGACTGTACAACTGTATGGACAACAACATTTGCATGGTAAAGATTAAGACGAAATTTGACTGGTGGAATCTGCCAATAAAATAGCATATACGAGTGTTCTTTTTAAATCAGGATTTCCTGCTTATTTTTAGTTGTTCAAAAAGTGATTTATACAATACAAAGACAAACCCAAAGCAGAATAATGTTCTTTTTTCCCTTCACGTAAGCTCATTGATTTCAACCAGATATGCGCAAGTGGCATCGTCCTTGAATACAAGCTTGATCAGGACCGCTTTTTTTCAAATGATACAAAGAACAAGCAAGAAAAGAGAGAAGCAAACGTTAACGTAATGCTGATGTCTTTAATGCATGGATCGACCATCATAAACATAAAGCAGCAGTAGTGTTAGGATGCATCACACAGTTAATCTAACATCCTCTTCACAAGGTATGCAACAGAGGGGAAAAAAAAGAAAAAAAAATTCTAAAAGTGAATTCACGCAAAAACAATAAGACAAATTGTGGTTCTCCACCCTATCTAACAAAATCAATGTCATTTGGAAAGTCACCACTTTCAAAATCAGAATGCTAAGGTTGGTGTATTTCCAGATGTTCATACACATGAGAATTCTCATAGAACAGGTTAGCTTAACTGTTCCTATCCCTTATTTCCAATTTCATTGAAATTTTTGTTTATTCCATAAATGGTCTATCTTTAATCACATATATAACCATTTTACTTTCAAGAAGCAGGTCTCACAAGCTCATAAAAACATCAACCAACTGCGGAGACAAGGGTAATTTTTGTAACCTCTCTTATACGCAGCCTATAAAAAGTTTTACAAGAAGCATCTAAAACACTGAATAAAAGCAAAACCACTATAAATGCTCAATATTTGACTGCAAGGAGAAAGTGTTACTGCATCTCCTTTTGGTCTCTTTCCACAAGCTGACAACCCCCATTGAGATGTTCCTGAACATTGGTGGCATGATGAGAAGTGTGCTTGGTTCACCACCGCTTATAACAGATGGACGCTAAATCATACTTTCCACTTTCCACTTCATAAATACTATTATCCCGTTGAAATGGTAGGCCAATCCTTATTAATATAAACCTACATAAAGCGCATTTTGAGTGCTCAATTTCAGGGGAGTAAATTGACAAGATCGATGAAGGTCATGACATATGTAGCGTTGTAAAAATAATGCAAGAACAAAGACAGAAAATGCAGAAAAGAAAAGAAACATTTCGCCAAAAGGTGATCTAAAAAAATCTGAACAACTTTTTTTGGTAAATATTTTCATCAACACCGAAGTTTTGTGTTTCAAATAGGTACATAACATTTTTTAATCAAAAGCAATTTGTTTGATGTTCACTTTAGATAAACCCACAGAACAGATTTTCATTACTACATAGCACGTAAAAAGACAACCTATTTTCAGCTATGTCCCCATCTTTGTAGTATGGCGTATTAGTTCGAATTAGGATTGCAAGCTACAGTTGTCTAACAGGCCAACAGAAGTTTGCAGATATTTTTTTTCAAGTTTCCTTTGCCTGTTGAGATCATGGTTAAGACTGGTAAAGAGCAGAGAGCTTTTTGTATTGAACAAATCTTCACCACCAACTCATTTCCTAAGTTTTGCACACAGTGTGGAAATAATGTAAAAGTGTCCTTAAGGCCTCCTTTGATGCCAAGGGTGAAAATGGTCCATCTGTTAGGATCTGTTGAGAATCAGAACTAAAACTTCCCAGACAAAAGGACCACTTCAGGTAAAAAACACAACGTTCTCACTCCTTTAAATGTCACCAAGGTGCAGCATTCAGTAGATGAGACATCTGTCCGTAGACAATATCTGCAGCTAGGACTTTCCTACATCTCAAAGGTCTGCTTTCTCAAAGTAGATCTTTATCTACGACTGTATCATTTTCCTGTTCGCGAAGCTGACATGGAACAGAGGATAGCAAGGTGTTCATGATTCCTCCATCGCATTGAAAAGCGTGAACATTTCCTCTATGACATTTGGTTCCTTGGCAAAGCCCATATTCACCTTTCAGGATATGTTAACTCTACAAATGTTGTCTATTTGGGCAACCTCACCCATCCCCTATTGCCTCTAGAAACAACTCCATACTGTAAGGTGTACAGTGTGTGTGGCTTTGAGAACTCATGGTGTAATCCTTGTGTTTGGCTACCCCTGAACATTACGAACGACATGTTAAAATGTGTCGAGTCCAAAAAAGGACATATAGAGCAGAATTTCAGATTTCTACAAATATTTTTAAAAACTCTGTAAGAGAAAAGAAAAATATTGTTTAAATGTTACAGGGAAGGAAAGATTAGATTTTTAAAAGAAAAGAAAGGGAAAAAACAAACCAATCATTTCATAGTTCTCCTTACAAGATCTCCAAAATTGGTGCATTTCGCGTTTATAGGTGGTTTTTATGAAAGCCATTTCTGTTTTCGAAAACAAGTTTTTTCTTTACAAATTTTATGTCAAACAAATTCCCTTTGGAAGAATTATATCTGTTCCAAATTAGAAACATTCTTGTAAAAATTTAGTGTGAGAAATTCAGAAAAAAAGTTGTTTAGTTTTTAAAAAAAAATCACCCAGTACATCCACTGTGCAGTGTTGGACAATTAATATCTTAGAACTAGTCGCATCAATAATTGTCACACTTTGCCAGGAACAGTTAATGTTGATATGGGATTCAGCGCTGTCATTGGAAGAGGTTGGACCCCCTATTTAGCCTCATTTTCTGCTACGGTTCAGACCAAACCAGGTCAGTGGAGATGTGAGAACTCACAACCAGATCTCACAAAGGACCTGTTAGGCATACGAGCCACAGTATTTTGCACTGCAGTCCAGCACCTCATCAACAGAGCTAGCGGAGCACTTCAGAAATCCTGAACTTGAAAGTGGATAAAGAACAAAAAGGAGGAAGAGGAAGAGGATGAGGTGGAGGAGGAAGAAGAGGAGGAGGAGGAGGGCTCTTAACAATCATGTCTCATGGCAAAACTCTAAAATTAATATCAACAAAAATCACCAGCATAATATGCAAAAAAAAGGGAAATTATGAGTACAGCTACTAAAACAATAATCAAGAGCACACACAAATATTGCAAAAGCTTTAGTGCAAAGTGAAAACACCAATATATAGCTTTCAGTTACTGTCTACAAAAGAATGATCATAATTGAATGACAAAATACAAAAACACAGAGAGGCCTGTTCATTTCAGCTCTGCTTTTGTCAAAAAGAGAATAAGAAATTCTCCATGGCTGCGTTGTATTAAAAAAGAGCGTTCAATGAGACTAAAAGCTTAAAAAAAATCTGAAAGCCATTAGCTCTGTACATGAGTATGAAGCACATTAGAGTATATACACGGTGTTCCAAAAGTAAGTATGCAGTTTTTATTATGGGTCACATGTAGCTCAAACCATGTACTGATTTAAAATTACAAAAAAGCACTGATTTTTAGTGTTTCCCAAATAGAAATGTCTACCTATCTTTGGAACATTTCGTAATCAATCCTGTGAATGAGCAATTAATAAAGCAGGTGCATGCGTATATGAGTGATATGGAGTGAGAAAAGCATTTATAATATGGAGAAAAACAAAACCCAACAAAAACCACAGAGAGGTCAAGTATGTGCGAGTGTGTCAGATGACAGCGACAAGTTTACACAGACTTTTAAATCCCACTAGCCTGTAAGGACCATGCTGGACTAATCTACTTTGATGCAAATATATATTGTAATAATAAGTGAATAGTTTTTTATTCTACTACAGCAAAAGAGATGGGGGGGGGAGATGGTTACATTAGCTCTTTATTAATGGAGAGTCGTTATCAGCCTTTGTCCTGTATTCTGCGGCACCAAAGATGCAACCCCACAAGTGGAGCCAGGAGTAATTCTTCATTGTTCAAAGTACTATAAAACACAACTGATATTTTAGCATGTAACTTTTTCTGAGAGAAGATATCTTGATGACTTTTGCACGCCTGTAAAGTCTCAAGTACATTTTATCGACCTATGAGGTAAATGTGTGTGACAAAAGAGAGAGTTATACTGTGCACTAGTTCCCAGAAGTGGAGTATTGATCACGGAAAGAGAAACCATAATAGCCAACAAACTTGTAGACAAGCTACACTAATGTTCCTTCCGCCTGTTGACCTAATTTCTATCCTAAAGGAAGAGCTAAAACAGAAAATCTAAAGGACGTTTCCATTACAGAAAATCTTTTTTTTAATGCAGCTGTTTTTATGTCCCGATTGACACATTTTAAATCAACAAGAGAATCTTATTCCTCAATTCTGCTCTTTTATTCAGAAGTGAAGAAAACTGGTAACTTTGTCTCTGAGATGAAAGCAATCTGAATCTGACTGAGAAAACGACCAAAACAGGCAAAATAGATATATACTATTATGGTGAAACTTCAACTTTTCATTGGCGGAATCCAGGTACACACAACATGCAGATCAGAATGTTCACTTGAAAACTTCTTGCACACAATTCAGGGAAAGACACTCTGATATACCCCCCCCCCCACTCCCTTGAAGAGGAAGAGGGAAAGTGCAAGGGGGTCAGACCTACTGTACACCAGTGGAATGACCACACCATCTAAAGGCTAATTAAGAAACATCAACATTATGGCTCAGATGCACAGAATTGACATCACTCCTAGAGGCATGTACAAATTAATGTATCATCTCCACCTTCTTCCTTCCTCACTCTCGCCACAGGGTCAAGTATTCCACCTTCAAAATGAGCTCCTTGTGTTAAGTAGGGTGAAAACAATCGAAAAAAAACAACCCCCAAACAAAACACTCTGATGCTTTGGGGGGGGGGGGGGTGTGGCTATAGGAAAGAAAACAACACCTTTGCCCCATCCACCGAGTTGCCATTTATCCAACAGTTAATTGTGAGTGACATTGTGCGAAAGGACCCAAACCTCAATGTGATGACTTTAAAAAATCCACTAATAACTGCCGTTACAAGTCATAAAACCAAAGTCTGCAATAGGTAAACTCTAAAGTCTTTCTTAACTTTAAAAAAATGATATTGGAGTAGTGGAAAATCTGTAGAGCTTAAAAGTTGTAAAAGTTTTTTGTTTTTGTTTGTTTATTTCAAAATGTTCAAAAAGACACGCTACCTGTAACAAGCCAGAAACATGACCTATGCATGAATGTTCTGATTTTAACCTGTATGAATAATGAGTATTTCCATAAGCTGTGCCGAACATTCCTTCTTACAGACTCTCCTGAATGTAGTTGTAAAATTCTTAAAATGCCCCTTGAAGAAGTGGAAGTGTGTTTGTTACGCAAGATGCATGCATCATCAACAACTATTAACTTGGATTTATTTGAAAATATAAATATGCAGCAGAGCCAGAGTACAATAAATGTATCGCCCATGAGCCTCTGCTTTACCTAAAAATGAATTGTTAGTGAAAGACAACATGAAGGCATCAGCTGAACAAATGCATGTTTAGGGTAGGGAGATTTAGAAGATAATATTAGAGCACACTGGCGCTACACAGCAATTAGGGCTGGGAAGGCCACATGGATTCTGCACAGGAGAGAAAGATACACAAGCCTCACAAGAGTGATATAGAAGGACTCCTAGAGCTCCAGTCTCTTACCCCTTTAGTCTCAGGGGTCCGATATCGTGAACGTCAAACGGAGCCACCAAAGCTTCGGTTTCGCTCAAAAGGTCATTAATGCCATGGGCAAACTTATCGGAGTCCCAGGACTCCCAATCCCAGGGGCCCTTTGTGGAATACGTTCTTATCCCGGAGGGGTGGCTCACCACCGAACTGGCGCACGTCAGCAGGCGAGATGATAGCGCGGCCCGGGCTACAGGCCGGCCACACGGGTTACTCCTGATCTTTTGATAGCAATAAGCTGAGCTCTGGTAGCTAGACAGGGTCCTCCATCCAAGGAAAGAGCTGATTAGGACAGAAGGAAATGGTGCACATAAAGTACAATGAGTTCGAAAAAAAAAGAAGCAAATGAGCTGTATCACCTCCATTATAGGGACGTGTGCGCGCGCATAGACACATGCACATAGATAGATAGATAGATAGATAGATAGATAGATAGATAGATAGATAGATAGATAGATAGATAGATAGATAGATAGATAGATAGATAGATAGATAGATAGATAGATATATAGATAGTGAGATAGTGAGAGAGTGAGATAGACTGACACACACACACACACACACAGAAAGAGAGGGAGCGAGAGAGAGAGAGAGAGAGAGAGAGAGAGAGAGAGAGAGAGAGAGAGAGAGAGAGAGAGAGAGAGAGAGAGAGAGAGAGAGAGAGAGAGAGAGAGAGAGAGAGGCCACAGGGTAAATTTGCCCCGAACGAGGTTTGGCATTCGAAACTGAGTGTGGGTCCGCAATTTTCTCGTACTTTTAGGGATACCTTTTCCCTCTATGCCTGTGTCCACACAGTCTTTGATTACCTCAATTTTGCCTAGTCTAGTATAAAATCTGACTGGTTAACACTTCATAAACGAAAGAGTCGGATAGAAATAAAATTACACTTGTACAACAATGACCACGTGATGCATAAAGAACCTGTGAGAATAAAAACAAACAAACAAACCCAACCAAACACGCACTAGAAGTAAAGAAAACGAGAAAGCCACGGGGTGGGGCGGGGAGGGCAGGGGTGAGTGTTCAGCTAATTAATGCCCCCTTCTCGAATTAATGTCGGATCTTTGAAAGCACAACGCAAATGGATAAAAAAAGAACCACATCAGTGAAATTGTCGGGGGGGGGGGGGGGGGACGCTTTCCAATGCGCAACGCATCATAGCGTTGACATCATTTACCTGATCTTACTTATTATTCGCCCACACGAAACAGGGTCAATTGCTCCCCTCTTTCGAGGCCAAGACAAACAATCCAGGCCCAATGCAGCCGAAAGTGTTTAAGACTAAGACAGCCAGCCATTCGTCGCCTCAGAACTATTTTGTCAAAAGTGCCTCCTTACTTAAGTACACTTTGGACAAAATAGTTCTGAGGCGACGCATTGACGATGAGGTCACCTTACACAGTGTCATAAAAATGTATTTTAAAATTACACAAGGGAGGAAGTAGGAAGTGGCAGACTGTACAGGTGATCGACTGTACTTTCTCAGAGAGCTTAGGAAAGTGCATGCTCTAACGTCGCCAAATGACATGAAGCTCACTTTAAGCAGGCTATGTTTGAACGTTTTTGGTTAGCTCAAATAACAAACATTGTTACAACGGGTCGCGTTTTCTTTGCGAGGAGACAGGCAATATCCGGGTAAATGGTCATTCGTCCGCACTAGAGCTAACACACTTTGATTCCAAAATGTAGCGGAGCTATGTTTTATTGTGAGAAGGCACCGCTTGAATACCCGCCAGCACCTGCTTACTAAATGCATAGACTTCATTTTAAGTTTCTTCTTTTTTTTCGGTAATGATTTTCACTGTATTAAATGCGTGGCAAATAATTTACAGCGTAGTGAAATCATACCGCCGCCAGGAAAAGGATTCCAATCAAAACTAGGACCTCATTTAGATTCGAACCCAGACCTCCAGCCTGTTGGCTTATTATATTGTCCATTAATCGACTACATCACAGTGCAGTGGCTGGCGCATTCTGGTCTCTATGACAACCAGTGATAACAGATCTCTGCGTTGATGAAGAGCATTCTTGTGCTCTAACAGAATACTGATGGTGAACTTTCTCAGTATAGAGAGAGAACAGTGACAAACAGGCTTTTAAAGAGGAGGAAAGATACAATAATAATGTACCTTTTTTGAGAGTCAAAAATATTCAGTAGCCACAGGACTTCGGTTCCCTTTAAACAGGAGGCTTTTATCGCTATGGAGAACACTGCTTTTATTGTGTGTTTATATGTTTGAGTCTAGAGTTCCACTAGTTATAAATAGAACATTTGGAAGGCAGGCCCATTCACTATGAGGATACAGAAGCACATTCCTAGCTACACAAACACCTGCTCGGAGCTGAGAGTTACAGATGGAAAAGCAAATCCTAGTATGGATTTGAATTCTACTAGCCTAGACCGTATACTGTCATGGCTGTCACTCTTTGCTCTCCATAATAACTTCGCAGCTAAGCGTGCACACCACGGGCGCCCAAATGAAAGACAAAACAGCATTCATGCAATAGTCTCGTGTGCGCAATGCCTTTTCCACCGTGCCCTTTATTTGGCTCCAAACAGATGTCAACATTTAATGGAGGGCCCCATAATGATCCGGAACTACGTCAGAGTGCACGATCTAGAACATTCTATTACAAGTTTATGGTACATGGACAAGATGCTACCCCGACGCTAGTCTTATTAAGTTGTACAAGTGGCAACCCATCAGTAGGGAAGTAATGCCCATAGGTCCCGCGCATACATCTATAGTCTGGGCAACACAAAATGGACAACTTGTCGATCTCATTACACCGAATCGAAGTGGCCAATTGCTTTGACTTTTTGCATGCGCTTATGAATTCTAAACAGTGACGGTGGGTATTGAAGTGCTCACGGGCTTGAGCCCCTATCCCTTCTCCGCCCACCACCCCCAACTCTATCCCAAAGTAAATGAAAGTTTCTCCATAATGAAATAAGCAGTTGAAACCGTTATGACAGCACGCAATGAACACAGAGTGATCAACTTGGCGGCTTGCTCGCTTATCCAATCAGTGTTGTCACCGCTTACAACTATAGTAATCCAGCAGCCAAGCAAATGTCTCTAGGGCTGAGCGAAGATAAGACCTTTTTCCCACAACCCGTCCTTAATGAAACTCTTCTTGTAAAAAGGTAGACGACTGGGAACAAATAACACTGTACCGAGGGCTCACGCTCTCCTAGCCCTGACAATGGGGTGATAAATTATGACACATTTTCCCCTACTGACACAGATACCAATGCGCCTTGGCTTTCCCAGTCCCCCATTGGTTCATTGTTGGGTGCGTTCAACTTTTTGACTATACTGCCTAATCCAACTCATAGAAGTATTATGTTTGAAGTGCTGTGTGTCCATGTTTGTGTTTGAGCCGCTGAGATTTAACAGTTATGAATCAGGTCGAACTACTTTTAAGGCAACTTTTTTCATCACACGAAAACTAATTAGAGGAAATTTGGAGGTGAATCGGCTTCGTCCCCACCAACAAAAAAGAATTTAACTAACAACAAAGAGATGGAAAACAAAGGCAACTCGATCCTCTCGTTTGAATGCTTCTCAAACTGCCGTGGCTCACCGCATGAGTATAGAAAAATCATCACTGTTCAGTCCTTATTTTATTGCTTGCTATTTGGTGGTAAAGAAGTGGAAGCAACCTAAGCCCCACCCAAATTTTGGTCCACCCACCGCCACTGATTCTAAAAGACCTAAACCCCCCCCTCGATTTTCGTGCACATGCAACAAAATAAAGTGGTGCTGTCTGTATAATCATTAGCAATTAACTGCTCATTAAACTTAACACCACGCACTTTTTATAGCAAACACGGTACCATACTAAAACCACAACAATACAGGGTCTCTCGTTGCAGGGGATTAGCCAGAAAATTCCGCTTAAAGGGGGGTGGGTGGGGTGGGGGCGTTTGGTCATACGCCAAACCGGGGGTCAGCAGAGCGCTAAATCTGAAGCGCTAATGGGCATGTCACAGGGCGCCCACCTTCTCCTAATAAAGTCCAAAGGCAGACCCCTCCCCCCCCCACCCCTTACACATACATTTTCGACCTACCTGAATATGAAAGTAGTATTATTTGAAGAATTAGGCGGCTTTATATTTGTTATTTGTTGTTTTTCTTCTTCTTTGATCCATCTGAGCAGCGTAGTCCTGGTAGTGGTAGGTCCTACGGCACGTTTTGTCCTTTTTTTCGGGATTTTTTTTTGGAGAATAAAAGAGACGGTCGCAAACAGATTCTATGGAGAAATTGTTCAGCAGTTTTAGGGCAACGTTTTTTGGAGGTTTGTATACTAATTAATCTAACCATCGTGATTAAGTGGAAAAAAGCGACAACAAATTGAAACGCCTGCGGTCTCAAAGACTGAAGATATGAAAGAAATTTTAAACATTGTATAAATTAGTCAATCTAAATAAACACAACGTCACCCACTAATTGGAGGACTGACAACAACTCAGTCTTGCGGCACACTAAGTCAGTTCAAAAGAAGAAAATAGGTCAAATAAACAAAAAAAGTAACACTCAACTACCATTCTTGTCATTATCAAAGAGCCCCGCCCAGACTGTAATTTAACACTATTGATTATATAGAAAACACATCTTTATATGTCGCATATGCACAAAACTCGACAATTTTTAGGTCTTTTGGAATTCAGAGGCGCATGGCCGACCTCCCCCCCCCCTCCAGCAATTCGCAACTTGGAATCTGTGTAATGAGGTCGACAAGTTGTCCATTTGGTGTTGCCTTGACTATTGCAACATTTCCACTCGTCACAAAGGCTGCGAAGTATGACTACACTTATGGTGGTGAAGAGCGTGAACGGGCCAAAACTGCCTCCATAATTTGCATACTTTTTAGTGGAAATGGTCATAGTGAAGGCGGGGGCCTCGAATCAGTGAGACAATGGGTTATGACAGGTAATAACATAGACCGACCATTTCGTGGTGGGAGGTCCGTTCCTTCACAGAACTGAATCTGATTTAATCTAACAGTTCGTCGGTCAATGTCTGACGATGACAAATGCATCGGCCAAGGAGAATATTTCTCAAGCAAAATAGAAGAATTAACGGTTACGATGACTTGTGGCGTCTGCTATGGCCAATGAGACCAATTCTGTAAGAATAGAACGTATCAACTAAAAACCCAAACTTTTTATGTTCATGGGATAACACATTGCAAAAGGTGGATGGAGGCACGATGAACGGGACAGGGTTGGGGGCGGGAGTCACCCGTTTCAGCACAAACAACAATTTAAAGGTCCAGACCTCAAACGGAACACTTGTCAGGGAACGGAACACTTGTCAGGGAACGACACACACACATACACACACACACACACACACACACACACACACACACACACACACAAATAATTACATCATTTAAGAGACGAGCTTCAACGCTGCCCGTCAGGGCAGAATCCAGCCGATCGAGGGATACAACATCCCAACATAAAGACCGAGATATGAGAGAAATATTCTCCCCACACGGGAACCAAACTCGGTTCCTACGTACGGCGGTGAAGCAACTAACCGCTACACCATAGATGCTTGTCATGGATAAGACAGGGCCGCGTACATGTATGTGAAGAGACTTCAAAACCTAACCCAGAACCCAAGTATAAGAACACTATGCTGTGGATTTTGCATTAGCATGGTATCCCCACGGTAGCAAATGGCATGGGTATACTGCAACTGTTTTAGACACACTGGTAAGTGAGTAAGCCTAACGGTGGGTTTATTAATGACTTGAACTTCCAACAAAACGCACACTGCACTGCTTATTTCCCCTCAGGACACCCATTAGAATCAGACATTGGTAACCGTTGAACTAACGGACAGTCAGCGAGTCAAATCATTGTATTAGGAAAGTGTGGCCTAGTGGTCAGTCTCTCGGACTCGAAACCGTAAGGTCGTGGGTTCGAATCCCGTCAGGGGCCCGACGTTGTGTCCTTGGGAAAGGCACTTTACACGAATTTTCCTCACTTCACCCAGGTGGGAATGGGTACCCGGCTATAGACAGCGAAAGATCTTGTCAGTTTGTTAGTGTTTGAGCGCTTAATCAGCTGCTTGCACTGTATGCTTCCCGGGAAGCTGAGAATGTTTCGGAGTGTCCTGTGGTCGGCTGGGGTAATAATATAGTGTAAAGCGCATAGAGCCTGCAGTTGAGCGGGGATATGCGCTATACAAATTCTATTTATTATTATTATTATTATTAAAGTAAGCATCTGAAAAATACCTTCCTTTTGATAAAACAAAGGCAGATATAATAAGCTTGAAGAGACATTTTCAGAAACTGAAGAGAAAATATCAAGCCCAGATTTGACAAGAGTGGACTTTAAGTCAGATGTCTTCATGTTGAAAGGCAAGAATGTTAATGCAGAATTTGCCAAAGTGACAAAGGATCACTAGAACCGACATTTATTAAACTAGATCTATATTTATTTTGAATAACATATCGATGTCCATGACAATAAAAATCTTTCAATGGTTGTAACAGAAGCCTTAAGAGCCCAGGAATGAATCAGCACATACAAGCAGCCGCATTAGTCTGGTTATAGTATCATTGTACACTGAGGCATACCCCTGTTTGATTGTCGTTGGTTTGATAATATGCAAGTCATAGAGTTTTGAGAAAAACATGATCTAAAGGAGACAGGTTAAATGTGCTCAAAAACCCCTCATCAGTAGTCTAACAAAGATCACCTGTTAAAGGATACACCTGTAACATCTAACAACAATGTAGCTTAATGCACAACGCATGAATTTTAAACTTCACACTTCTGACAACACGGTTTCAGTGAGTAAATGACTGAAAGGGAATTTCATTGGGATCGAATTACCCGCATAAAATGATAGCAATTTTGTTTACTGTCGAGCAAAAGCTGCGGGAAATGGTTTTCAACATCTGGTGCATGAACAAATATTTGACGACAAGGGATGAAATTACATATCAAATTTCTTCAGCAGCATGTCTTTCGAAATGTATGGTAATGTAATGAGAATGAAACGGATTCCTTTATCAATACGAATTTAAAAAAGGGAATAATGAAGTGAAAAATATGAACTGGACATACATTCAACACAATATTTGAGCAGGCCAGATAGAAAAGATAGAATGAGAAATGTTAAAACATTCTAATCAGAAAAACATAATGGCTTGTATGTCTTATTTTTTTATCAGCCTACTGTAGGATCTACAAACGACAAAGCCAATTCTTATGACTATGGCTATTTTTACATAACAAGAGAATAGGGTGGTTTGCCTTAAAAACAGGACCATTTCCGTGACAGAAGACAAGGTCACAGCACAAATATTTGCATAAAAACAATGCACTGAAAGAGCGGTAGAATAGGAGATCCAGAGGCGCCCTTTCAAATAGGTGCAACATGGGAGAATATTTAATATGCAGAACAGTAACTGTACCAGTAATAGTAACGTATCATAATTTTGACTCTGATTAAAAAGGAACCTTAAGCCGAACATGGTGGCTGAGCTTGGATAGCTTTAAATGAGCACTCTCTCATTTTGTTACTTTGGATGAGATCATAAAATGTTGCTTTACTCCTTACTATGAACAATTTAGGTCAGCCAGAAGATGGAGTGCTTGTTCCCCCATTATGATGCCAGATGGGGAAGAAAAATGTAATAGGACGGACGAGAAAAAACTCAAGACCCCACTCAGATGAAAACAAACCTCTGTGAGCAGGCAAAGTTTGCCAACCAACAGTGTCATATAGTGACAAGTGCCACTTCGGAATCAATCTGACCACAAAAGAGGTAATTTTAACAATGGTATTCCCTATTTACCACATTTAAGACAGAATAATAATAAAATTGTGACTTGACAATAATCTCTTTATTTGAAAAAAGTTGTATGGAAATTCTTGTTCATTAACATGACACATGTTCTTGGCAGTTTCTTAGTTACATTTCATTGCAATAAGAAACAGTTTTGGGTCTCATGAAAGTTTGCATCTTTCCTAAATCTTAAAGTGACAGCCTGTATAGTTGAAAAGTGACAGACTACATAGGCTTTGTAGAATCATCTACAAAACAGCTGAGTAGTTAAGATAAATTTTGGACATCAAATGCAAAAACACCTATCAAACTAAACGTGTGATACAATGAAACAATGCAAAGCGCATGATTAACTATTTATTACTATGCAGACATTCTTCAAAACAGGGTCACACAAAAATACAAGCAAGCTCTATTGAACAAAGGAAAATAACATTCTTAATTAAATTATTTTTTAAAAGATTATTACAACGATGAAGAATGAGAAACTATTATCTTTCATCATATAAAATTTCAATAGAAAAAAAATTATTTTGTCACTAAAATGATAAAATATAGTTCACATTATAACAACCAAAGAAGAAAAATGAACGACTCCAGTGTCAAACCAAGTAGTAACATCATGCCCATCAATAAAGGGGCTGGAAAAAAATAAAGCACACACATGAAGGCCTACAGGATTTTCACTAGCAATATACTGCTTCTAGGTTTTTGAAGTGAAGTATGGGCTATTCAAAACAGACATACCAACAAAAACTATACCAGCTACAACATCTTCATTCTCATGACCCAACTTAACAAATGTGAGGCAGTAAAACACAAATAGGTCACTTCTCACAAAAGCAAACCGAATGCATGTGATAAACTTCAAGCTTGAATGATTGATATTAGCTTTTGTGTATATCAATCCTTAAAGCCCCAGTTGTGTATTTCCCCGATGAGTTCATCTTCCCACAGACCCAGTCGAATATATTTTCCCACCTCAATCTCAGTCACATCGTTTTACTGTAATCTGTTCAACTGTCTCTGAAAAATATGCTAAATGTCATCTTCTAAAACTTCAAACAAAAGCACTTTAGAACTAAAAAAAAAAAATGTTGACAAATAAAATGCAGGCGTAATCAGAATTGGCTGGGCTTGAGGAGTAGAGGACTCCAGTATTATATGCGCCACAGGGAAGTCAGGACTGAAAATATCTGGTGGTGTAAAGGTTAACATGATCTGAAATATGATTTCATTTCCCTCCTTGGTAAGACATAATAATTTTACCCATTTTGCGTTAACGGTCTACTTTGTGTATGTCCAATTCGTTTCAATCAGGGTCTGTAAGCTTATTAACTCCGAACTGTATTTTCTGAATACTGCACATCTTCATACTTTTTGTGCTCAAATCATGAAGATCAGATAGAACCAGATATGAGAAACTTTTATATTATCTTGTTGGATTTACAAACACCTTTTTGTTTTGAAACCAGTTTTATAGCTCCATGATCAAAACGTGTGAAAAGTGACTAATTTTGTGATATTGCTACATATAAATTGTTATGACGCCCAAGGAGAGTATAGATAGGAAAGCCTTAAGCAAAATACTTCCCGTGAGACTAGCAGTGAAGGGGTACTATGGTGTGGGTATGGTCTGGCTCTTCTACTTTCTTTCAGCCCTGTGACAATCCTAATCTATTTTTGGTGAAATGTGGCTATTAGGCCAACTTGTTGCACATAAATGTCATAAACTACAATAGAGCTACAATGGTCTCAGATAAGAAAAGAACTTACCCTTTAAGCTTCTCTGCTGTAGTGACTTGTACAGTGAAAGGGCTTATTTTGGCCTGAGCGACAGTCACTATTTCATTGATGCCAGAGGCCAAATTCCTTAGGAAACCTGACATGTTGCTGCTATATCTGCCTAGATGATCAGAATATCAAACATCTGAGGAAAAATGAACATTAAAAAAATTTATCATTACATTGAATTAAAATCAGTTGTATCGAAACCTGAGTATAATATACCCTGTGCAGATCAGGAAGTATGTCTGCACATAGAAAACAAGGTACAAAGTAGTAGTCGTTTAAAATACAAGAAACAATTCTGCAACACAGGACCTTGAAAAAGAGCTTCTGCCATACATGGAGGTAGCCCATTTATTACCAATAGTTCAAGGTATTTGAACCTGGGAAGACTATGAATACACACAAAGACAAACAATGCTTTCAGATGTGAAGAGTGAGCTTGGTACCAAACTGAATAAAAGCAGGGTCACAAAAAAACAAAACTGAAACTTTTGCTCATGTTCCTGCTTCTTTTTTGTTTTACCATTATCTTCAACTAATGTGTCAATATAATGTCTTTTTAAGTTTCTAAAAAATTAGAAGTGACTGACCACAAGTTGACATTGAGAATAATGTTACCAGCAGCAATTGCTAAAGCTGCAGAGAGGTAAAAAATGTTTACATGCTCTGAATGATCTGAAAAAGTACAACAGTAGCTTGAATTCACCATAACTAACCTTGACTCTTGACCCAAATGTATAGATTCTCACCTGTAACCCCACATATTTTTAAACCTCCGTGGGGGTGCCAGTGTATAGTTAGTTATACAGTGGTGTTTGTTTTAAAATAGCAACCCAGATAAGAGCATCATCCGCTTAACAGCAACATAACTTTGTGTAACTGAATTTTTCCTATAAATTACCCCCTTCAAGAACAAGCTTTGTTGAAATTTTCTTTTTTGAAGATTCAAAAAACTGTGAACACTGACACTGATCTTTACTTTTAGTGTGTGTGTCTGTCTGTGCATCTCTCTCTTATATTTTTTATCTCCTCAAAACAAACAACTGCCTAGGCCAAAAATGCACTACGTTGAGTACAGGAATTAAGTACACACCCTCTTGCCAAGAGCCACCTTCTTTCAAGAATCTAAGGGAAAAGTCTCGGCCACTGTGTATAGCATTACCTAGATGTTCGAACACTGCCTATGATCTTACTTTCTGATGTTAGAACATCATCACATCCAACTATTTTGGGGTTCACACTGCCATGTTTGGCTGGAGGACACACAAATGAACAAGAACAGTGCTATAAAATATTATATCTTAGCATGAGACAGGTCCTGGTGTGAAAATAAAATAATGGAAGCGATTATTCACACCGGGTGTGCGCATATATATAAGAATTAATTTTATTCACAACGGGTGTGTGAACAAGAACTATTCGCATAGGGTCGAGCCTACGTTGATTTTGGACCTCGTTTGTCACACCCGGGTATCCCACTTTTTGGCAAAGGCTTTAAATATTAAAACAACTGTACACTAGTTTAATAATATATCATACTTGTTTCAGTTTTAGGGTTAAAGCATGCACAAAAAAACGAAAAAAAGAGAGATTTGAGTCATTATCATTGACACAATGCACAACTTGACCTCCAATTTGAGTGGGTTTTTTTCATATCATCGCATTCCCCAATTGGAATTAGATCTAAATCTATCTCTACTAAAGATAGCACATCACAAGATTGTTCACTCAGCCCGAAAAGTGTTTGCAGAAGTCTGCGCATTGCTTCAGATGGCGCTGGAGTCTTGTTTTGAAGCTCTCTTTCGTTTCTCCAGAAGAAGAAAAGGATTTATAAGCACAGTCTGTTAATTTCACTTTTATTGTTTTTCACACAAGTAGGGTAACAGTTCACAAAGTCCGCACTTTTTCGAAGAGGGCGCCACCAAATTTTGAGGACACTTTTTTAATTGGCTCAAAGAGAGGAGTGAACTATCTCGTTATACATGATCTTTGTCCCTATGCGATGAGGGGGAAAAAATTAGGAAATGCTAGGCCTAATGAATTTCCATCCTTCCATTGAAACGCCCTGTGCCAATAATATTTTATAGTATTCACACATCCTACACACTATTCACACACTGTGGGCGAATAAAATTTCATAGTATTCACACGGTATTCACACACCCTGTGCGAATAAAATTTCATAGTATTCGCAAACCCTGTGCGAATTCATACAATTCATACAATTCCATCGCATTCACACACCCTGTGCGAATAACTACAGCCTATGTAATACCCACAAATTCACAATGAAAGTTTATTTTTATTTTATAGATCAATATATGTAAGCTTATTATGTTATAAAAATCTGTCTTTCACTTTCACATGATCCACTGTGGTGACTCATAATTAACTAGAACTATCACTATCCATCTTACACAGAGATACACTGACTACTGAAGTTATATATATATAGAATATAGATCTATATAATATTATAAGCTATTCTGATACCATATTCAAAATGCACTAGGTCTAGATCTACCAATTCTTTTATACATTCGTAATACAAAGTAAAATACATCATATAATACAGCACAGCATAGTATAGTATAGTTATAGTAATTTAGTCTACTTAGTACAGTATAGAGTCTAGATTCTAGTCTAGATCTCTAGATTCTAGATCTAGAGTCTAGTATTAGTAGACTTAGTAGATCAGTCAGTAGTCAGTCAGTCAGATCATTGCAGTTCGAGCCTACCCCTAGATCTAGAATCTAGATCTACATGTACTGACATCTTGTAAGTTTTCGAAATCGTCTTTAAACAAAGCACTAATATGAAAATAACAAAATACACTTGCCAATAAATGTAATACTTGGAACGAAAGTCGGTTTGATATTCAGGGTGTCTTGATAATTTGCGGCACGGCTACCATCATAAATCATGACCCTGCCCAAATTTCTCAAGGAAAAACTGCGCATAATGTAAGCGCTACCAGTTTCATTAGTTTCTCACTTCCGGGAACTGTGCCCAAGTACTTCGTCTTTTTATTTGTTCGTAATACATGTATAGGCCCAACTTTAAATTCATATTATTATGCAGTTGTCAATTTTACCCTGCTTTCAGGAAAGCATCTTCTGCCAATGCCCAGCGTTTAAAGTTAATGGGGGATTTTGGGGTGGGGGTGGGGAGATGTTTTTTTCCCTTCTGTTTTCGTTGTTGTTTTTGCTGGTTATTGTGGTGCCTGGAGCACTGACATATTTATGTTGTATGTTCTTGGTCTGAATCACAGAATTCTATACTTAGTGTAGAATTCTGTGGTCTGAATAGATCTAGATCTATATATTTTTCGGCAAAACTTAATAGGTTATTGTCATTATTATTTTTAACAGACAAGTTGTTTGTTTGTTAAGGTTAATGTCATTGTTGTTGTTGTTGTTGTTGTTGTTGCTGTTGTTGTGGTTATCATTACTATTATTATTATTATTATTATTATTATTATTATTATTATTATTATTATTATTATTATTATTATTATTATTATTATTATTATTATTAGGCAGTTGTTGTTTGTTTGTTGTTGTTGTTGCTGTTGCTGTTGCTGTTGTTGTTGTTTTTTGTTGTTGACGATGATGATGATGATGATGATGATGATGATGATGATGATGATGATGATGATGATCATGGGGGGCTCTCGTGGCCTAGAGGTTAAGGTTATGGCCTCTCATTCAAAGGTCCCGGGTTCGAATCCGGGTAGCGACCGACAAATTTTCTTCTCCTTTCACCTCCTTTCCTGCTCTCTAGTTGTCTGCTTTCATTTCCACTTTCTGCCCCCCACCCCCTCACCTCCTTTGCCCCCTCCTCTGGGCTCCTGACTCTTTCTGCAGCCTTTCTACTGTTACTCCTTGGCTCCTCCTTACTGCTGTCTTTCTGCCACACCCCTGATCTTCTGGTAGGAAAGATCTACACGGGCGAAAAATCTCGGAGGGCCCGTGTGCAAGTAGCGCACGTTCAAGATCCCTTGGTGGTCTAAAATCGATAAGAGTAGGCTTCGGCCGCCACCCGGGCAAAATTCAAAATTTCCTACCAACTGAAAATATTAGGTGTGTCCCGCGCGCTCATATGACCTTATGCAGTTGCGAGCGCCGTAAAACACTTTACCAAAAAAAAAAAAAAAATGCTGCTGCTGCTGCTGCTGCTGCTGCTGCTGCTGCTGATGATGATGTTGTTGTTGTCGTTGTTGCTGTATCTTGCCCAAGCTCATACAAGAAGTTCACTGATGGTGCCGATTTTGTTGTAGTCTCTAATTTTTTCATTAAACTATTTCTGCATAATGATGGAGGCAAGATCAAATTTACGTTTGTGTTTAATAAATTCAAAGGGAGGGCACGAACAGAAGCTGTTTCATCCCGGCAACCAGCAAGGCAGATAGATAAACATTTACCAAGGAGCGATAATATATAGAAGTTGTAGATATCAGGGGCGCTCTCCAAGCACTATCTTTGTTACGTTAACAGTAATAACAAGTAGGACATATAACAATGTCTCCAGACTTGTTTTAGTCAGTTTCCGATTGGAATTAAATATTTTCCCCGATTTTCAGATAAATGGAATTAATAGACCCCACTGTTTTTTTTTAAAGGAAGAGCCTTATATTTGCAACGCTGCGTTGCGATTAGCGCCAGTACTAAATAAAACGCCGTGTGTTAAAAAGGTCAAACAAAAACTAACACTCAACTACTGTTCTTGTTTTAATGTCAATGTCAATGACAATGTCAATCTTTATTCATCTCGCAGGGAGAAACTTGTCTTGGTCGTTAACAATGGCAGTAGACGTTACAAAAGTTAGGTGCACTCATGCAAACGCAAAAGACAAGACATTGGTAAATACATGTCTCACGTGCTGGGACCCGCTCCGTAAAACATTCTCTCTCTCTCTCTCTCTCTCTCTCTCTCTCTCTCTCTCTCTCTCTCTCTCTCTCTCTCTCTCTCTCTCTCTCTCTCTCTCTTTCTCTCTCTTTCTCTCCCCCCCCCCTCTCTCTCTCTCTCTCTCTCTCTCTCTCTCTCTCTCTCTCTCTCTCTCTCTGGGGGGGGGGGGGGGGGGGGGTGCGCGCGTGTGTGTAAGTTTCATTTGTAGCACTGTGTGTTCAGTAACCTCACTGCAGTTAGTTCAAATATTTCTATATCTGTCAGCTCTTTCTTTTTTGGAAAGGTAATGTTTACTGCGGGTCGATAGTTGAAATTCCGATGCCAGTGGGTGGCTATGGTCACTAAATATTACTTCCACTCTTTTTTTTAGAACGTTTGTCTTGTGCAGATATTCAAAGTTACTTAGGTCTCTACCAATATTGTTCCTGATGTCTTTCTGATCAACTTGTTTATTTTTATGATGTGCTGCCTTCCCAAATTGCTACCATAGCAAGTGATCCCAAAATTCTATTGTGGTGGTGTAGAAAATCTGAAGGATGGATGGATTCAGATTGAAAGGCCTAAGTTTCCTCTATATATTTGTCGCATATGCACGAAAATCAAGATTTTTTAAAGGTCTTTTGTAATTCAGAGGTGCATGCAGAAAACCTGAGCAATTCGCCCCTTAGATTCGGTGTAATATAACTCCCATGTGAAATAAGATCTGCCCCAACAATTTCCATTTTCAAAAATCAGCTGAAACATTTTTTATTCACAAAAGCATACCTGTCATAATGATGTACTGTGATATACATGCATGTGTATGCCAGACTGTGAGACTGAAGAAATAGCGAGTGAGAATGAGAGAGAGAGAAAAAGAGAGAGATAGAGAGAGAAAAGAGAGAGAAAAGAGAGAGAAAAGAGAGAGAGATAGCGAGAGAGGGAGAGAGAAAGAAAGAGCGAGATAGAGGGAGAGGGAGAGAGAGAGGGAGAGAGAGAGAGAGAGAGAGAGAGAGAGAGAGAGAGAGAGAGAGAGAGAGATAGAACGGAAATGTTTTTCTATCTGTATAGAATTAATGTTTTAATGAATGTTTCTAGTTACTCACGTTTCAACTTTATTTTGACTGTTCGTGAATTTTTATTGCATTGTATATTTTTAGTGAACACATTTTCAACCTCACTGCGAGACTGTTTTTCTGGTATAAAATTTTACACATATGCATTTATATTATATGTATAATACTTTGTTTTACGTACACATAATTTGTGTCGATTAATTTTTAAGATGTGATGTCTTTTTCATTGTAATGTGCATTGAGCATCTGTTAGGAAATGGAAATGCGCAGTATAAATGCTATTTATTATTATTATTATTATTATTATTATTATTATTATTATTATTATTATTATTATTATTAATGAGGTCGACAAGTTGTCCATTTTGTGTTGCCCAGATTATAATGATATACACACACTCAATGCTCAAAGATGTGAAGGATCATTTACCAGTTTCGATACCCTGCTTCTGTCATTTTTAAAACTATTCTATAACAGGATGGGGGTGAGTTCAGGACCAAACTTTCCGCATGCAGGGCTGTGACTACATGGGGTGGGGTGGGGGGTGGGGGGCGAATTCCATTGTGTGAACGAAACGATACTACATTTATGTCTGTTCCTATTTGTTTACTCTGCTTATTAGCCATATTTATTGAGAGCTGAACTTCATTTTGCATCTATTTAAAAAAAAATCTATCACAGCCTGTGTCTATAATTATGACTGTCAGCCATCACTAGAGTAAGTTCATACGGTTGTGAAGCTCGTGTTGGGTGTCTCGGCTAGCAAGATCAGTACCCATATTGCTGAGACAACTGGCAAGAATTTTCAGCGCTCTAATGTTCACAACATTGCTGCAAAGCACAAGGGCAAACACCAGTCTGTAGAGGATGAAACCTGAGCTGTGTTGGAGAGGATGGTCTCAGAGGACAACATGTCCCAGTTTTCTGTGATTCTATCAGAAGATCAGAGTGTTGATGTTTTTTTTTTCAAACATCTGGTATGCGCCGTATTGTACAGCAGTATATTCCAGTGTTATTTTTATGGATGGAACATACTGTCTGAACAAAATGGGATACCCAGTGCATGTCTTTATGTGCACAGATGGACACATGAAAGGGCATGCAGTAGGATATGCTGTTGTTTGGGATGAGAAAAAGTGACCCATAGCAAGTTACAGAATGAATTTATGTCGAAATATGATGTACGAATCAGTACCTTTGTGATAGATAAGGACGCTGCAGAAATTGGAGCAATTATAAAGACATTGCTGGACACTAACATTATTTTGTGCCGTTTTCATGTGGCTTCCAATTTCAGGGATGCTGTGTCGAAATATTGTTTGCTTTAAGGAAAATATGAAGCAAAAAGCAACCTCATGAAAATGCTGTGCTGTGAAACAGAAGAGATGTTCTGGTCAAGCTTTTCGAAACTTCCCTCAAATTTGGCTACACGCGTAGTGAAAAACTGGATTCCTATTTTAGATTGTTGGGCTCCCAAACATGTGACAACCTGGAGAAGCTACACCAATAATGTATTGGAGCGACATAACAGACTGCTCAAAACGCTAAGTAATCACCACAAAAGCCTTCCTCACTTGAATCACTTGACCTCTGTGTTCCTATCTATGCACAGCATGTCTGAGAAGAATCAAACATATCAAATGAACACCCTTAAATTGAAAGCCCGAGTGACCAAGATTGATGTTCCTTCACAGTTATCTCATTGTGTAAAACAGTTTGTTGACATTGTTACCCCTACAGCTTTGACTTTATTAAAGGCTCAAGTAGAGTTTTTTTTATAAGCATGATGGAAAGGTTGCCATGGGGTCTCCATGTAAATTCAATTATTCTGATGATGTAAGCAAGAGATCGTACATTTTTTATTTGTCTGATGGCAAATGTACTTGTCTATTCTTCCTCAGCAGAGGCCTTCCCTGTTGGTTGGCATCTTATGTTGTGCCGGTACAAATGTTGCCAACCAATGTCTACACAGAAAGAGATTCCACAAAGGTGGCTTTTAAGTACTCTGTATGCA